TTTCACATCAGTTGTCAGACATTTTCATGTGTGAGTGTAAAAGTTGAGTTGTGGGTGTGTGGCTTATTCGGATTTAAAGTGACAGACTCCTAAAATAGCATTTCTGAAAGGAGCTCAAAATAGGCACAATTTAGATAATCTCATGATCTAAGAATGATTTTGTCCAGAAAAACACATATTGCCTGTAAACCTATCTTAACCTGTTAAAGAAAGAATAACAGATCACTTTTAAAGGCACTGTATTAAGAAAAAAAATGACATTATGTAGACTTACTGGGGTTAGCATCTAATTTTAGGAAGTTAAAATCGGATTGAATATTGTAACGAAGAGAAGAGATTAATCCTTAAAAAACAGAAAAAACTCTGGCAAAAAGTATGGACCCACTGTTGTTAGCTGATGTTCAACAAAGATCATTTAAACACACTGCAAAAAACACAAAATATTTTTTGGTCTTGTTTCTAGTGTAAATATCTTATTAAATTTGAAATAAGACAAAAGTCACTTAAAAGTAACTTTTCAGCACGAAATAGAGGCTTGTTTTAAGTAAATAATTATTTAATATTGATGAAAAAGTACTGGCTCCATTGGCAGATAAATTAACTAAAAACATGGTTAAATGTCTTGTTGCCAATGGAGCTAGTATTTAGTTTGATCAAATTAATTACTTAAAACAAGCCTCTATATCTTGCTGAAAAGTTATTTGTAAGTCAGTTTTGTCTTATTTCAAGTTTACTAAGATATTTGCACTAGAAACTAGACCAAAGACACTTGGTAAGATTTTGTGTTTTTGTATTGCAGGTGGAAAATTCATTAAATGTTTTTTCCAGGTCTGTGTCCAGCTGAACCACTTTGGGCATCGGCCTTGCATCACTTTGCAGGACCAAAACACTCCCTATAGGACGAACTGCTGTCACATTTTCCACTGCAAACTTTGGGAAAAACAGGCATCGAGTGCAGGAAGGCGGGCGGCGGAGATGCAGGAGGATCTCTGACGGAGATGATGGCTTTCTGTCTCCTCCAACTGTAACCTCTCATTACCAGCCCGAGCTCCATCACACAGAGAAACATGTGTGGATGAAGGCCATAAAACCCTTTTTTCCACTACCCTATTTCTGCTGCTGGTTGGCCGCGGTAAACACAGACGGAGGCAAGAAATGAAAGAGCCGTCGTGTGAGAAAAACAAAAACAGCAGGCTGAGAGAGGAGGGAGTTTAACACAACATACCTCACCAGGATGAAGTGAACAAAAACAAATCAACTCCTGCATTTAGAGCTGAGACTTTAGAGAACATCAGATGAAGTGGGGAACTAACGGTGGTGGCAGGATCATGGTGTGGGAACGTTTGGATGTAGTTGGTGGGAAGATTGACGGAGCTAAATACTAGGCAACCCTAGATCCTGACCGAGGCGGAGATTCAACAACCCTAAACATACAGACAGAGCGACTATGAAACGGCTTAACATAAAGCACATTCCCGTATTAGAATGACCTAGTTAAAGTTCTGACCTGAACCTGACCTGAAGTCTTGAAAATTAATGGTCAGACAAGCTAATTAACTTGTTTGCAAAGAAGAATAGGGAGGAAATCTCTGTCACGTTAGATATGATTTGTTGCTTAAGCATGGTAACAATGTATTGTTGCCATGGTTATGCATCTGATTAGCATATCAAAGAATTAGCAGTTCAAATAGCATCTGGAAGAACACCAAATGTCAGAAGAGTTTAAAAGAAGGCTTCATGGGTACAGAACAGAGAGAGAAGGAGAAAGTTCAAATCATTTTCCATTGATCAAATCCCCCACTCCAGCTTCATAATGGGAGAGGATCAAATCCCCCACTCCAGCTTCATCATGGGACAGGATCAAATCCCCCACTCCAGCTTCATAATGGGAGAGGATCAAATCCCCTACTCTAGTGTCTTTCTAACCATACGGTTAAACAGAATTTCGAAGACGAGCGGGAAAAGCAAATGAGGTGGATTAGCAGTTTCTCAACAACTGATGGTTTCATCAAGGACATGTTACGGTGGAATCTTGTAAATTCCACGTTTAGCCTGTCATGCAAGGGTTCATTCACACCAGTCCTGTTTAGTCCGCTTAATAATCAACTCGAGTTCACTTGTACAGAACGTCCGGTTCTTTTCTGAACTCTTATGCGGCCGAAAACAGTGAACTCTGGTCCGCTTACATACCTAGGTCTCTGTTGGGTTGAAGTGAAGAATGGCGCGGTTTGAATGCATATGTGGATGCAAGCAGAAAACAGAGCGCTCCGAAAAAAGGAAGTGACTACAGCGCAGGACATTCTGGGTAAATACAGTCAAAACAAACGACAGAGTCCAGCGCTAGTGGGAGAAATGTCTCGTGGTCTTTTGCCGAACACAAAAGAGAAATCTTTTAACTGCTAAAATAATCTGATGCCACTCCATTTTTGTTAACATTTTGTGAAGTTGCACTCAGTGTCTTCTTCAGAGTTTTTCATGTCGTTTCCTTCTGTGGTTCTTGGTGCAGCGCCACCACAGGCGAGGAGGGGAACAGGTTTTTCAAAGGGTTTGGTTTGTTTGACACAGTGCAGTGAAAGTAAATCAAACCAGGTGAAATTGTAACAGATACTACAACCCAATTTAAGAGTCTACCTGACTGCCAGGTGGAAAACATTCAGAAAGTCAGAAGCCTCTTCAAAATCGTTGCAAGACTGACTGCTACCAGAGATTGTTCCTGCTCATAGCATCACATCCATAAAGACTCCTTAAAGATACTTCAGTGATATGAGTTATGATAATATTTAACTTCCCTTTGGGATAAATCAAGTATTTCTGATTTGAATTGAAAATATGAAAAGCAGCTGGAACTGCTGCAAAAAAACAGTTTTACAACTACAAACTTTTTCAAATTCAGATTGAAAAATACTTTATTGAAAGAGAAATTAAATATTGATCCCAAAGAGAAATCAAAGTAAAAAAGGACTGGTAATTAAATGTATCGTTTTTGGATTTTTATTTCTTAAAAACAGACATCAACTTCTCAATTAAACACAATTTTGAGATGGTCTTAAAACCCAATAAAATACACTGATGATGTATGTTTTTAAAAAAGTTCAAGTGGTATGAATACGTCAGCAAGCCAGTGAAAATCAACCCTTTCCAAAAACAATATTAACTGCGGTCACAAATCAAAAGTATAAATTTACTCTGTGTCTAATTGACAATGTGAGGATGATGCTGTAAAATGTTTAAACTCTTTAACTTTCTAGAATAATTCAATTTTGAGTGTAAAAATCCACCGGAATTGACTCAGACAGAATGATTATTGATTATTACATTAACTTATTTAATGAAATAGTAAAAAGAAACTTAAAGCTAGCTTACTCAAAACATAAAAATGATAATGATAGAAAACTTTAAGTATTCCCATAGATAAATATGGAAGCATTAAGTTGTAAAAAAAGAGCTCCAAATCTCAACCCCACGTTCCCTTTGTAATAAAAAAACAGCCATTTCTATCTATTTTTTCCAACTTACCTTCTATAAAACTGATGTGGATGCGTTTTCAGAGCGTCTTCACGCCATGCTCAGTCCGACCATATTGTGTCTGGTGTTAAAATCCTAAGTTATGAGGAAAAATGAGAGGCATTCTCTCTTTTCCGGGAGGTTTTCATTTCAGCTCACAGGGAAAAGTTGGAAATGGGTTGATTTTTTTTTTTTTCATTAAGGAGGGTGGTGCGTTTATGAAATACGTCCAATCAGATGCTCGGGAGGCGTTTATCCAAGCTGTGGGATCTACATGCTGCATTCCTGTTGCACTTGGAAGTCGGATTTTCCAATTCCCAAGTTGGAAAATGAACTTAAATGTACATTTTATTTTTTTAGATTTTCAAACGGTAAAATCCACTGTGTCTGCCGGAAGTATGATTTGTCGTTTTAAATGAACATACGCTTACTTTCCTACCGTTATTAATTGACTTTTTCCCCAGACAGCAAACTCCACCAGCGGTCACATGGTTTCCACGATTAGAGTGCGAACTTCCGAGGTTCCTCTGAAAGCACCATCTTTCAACAACCGCAATGACTGAAATGATTATCCGCCAATCAAAACGCGGAGCGCAGGGACGTAGCGTTGCAAATGTCTTAAGAACCGTTATAATATAGCTACTAATACTACTACTAATAACAACAACAAAAATAACATTGATAGTTTGTATTAGAATACTTTTCATTCATCTAATATAATATTCAAATTTCGTAAAAAATAACCATAGTCTTCCATTATTTGTACAGATAATCGAAATTAACAGGAATAAACAGCTTTTTTTTATTAAGTCAGATGCCAAAGGACATTTCATTTATCAAATTTATTATGATACACATATTTAGTAAATTATATACATTTAATCTTAATCTTATAATAGGGGTCGATTATAAGATTAAAAACATATTTTGGAAAAAAAAACAACAACCTATACGCAATGATTAATATTTTTTCATTAGGCACTTATTGGTGACATGGAAATCTTAAATATTGTACTTTCATAAGCTGTAAACTGAAAATTATAATACATTGAGAAATAAATTAACATTAACAATATTCAAAGTTATTTAGTATTCAAATATACTCAACTATACCTCTTCCTGGAGCCTTGTTTTATAGTTTGTTGTTTAAGGAACAACTTGAGGGACATTTTAGATTAACAATAATTTTAAACACCGCGCACAATAAAAGCCCGCATGACAATTAAAGCCCATTTGTATTTTTAAGAAATGAAAACTAATATGCTAACTGGTCGCTTTTTACCCTTCCAATATGGCGACCCTGCTTACGTACCGCTTCATTCCTCTGCTACGAAGTCATTGCGGGGGGTCCACGAAAAGTCAAAAATAATCTAGCTTCAAAATAAAATCTTCTAATTTCGCACACTTACTTTACAATTAATTTAAGACAAAATTGTTGTCACTCTTTGACATTTCCTATTTAATTTAGGAACTGAATCTTTTATTGCGAAAATCTACCGGAAGATGTTTTATTTTCATCCGGTATAGTGACCGGCTGTAGCAAGGCTGTAGACCACATGTAGGACTGAGGTAAATGCCTTTTATTTTTTCATCAAACCGCATTTTATGAGCTGCTACCGTTATTATGTTGCAGTTTTATAACTTTAGTTATTTTTAAAGCCTTTTTAAAGTAGACTTTGAGTTATTTTCAGGCTGCTTGTTAAAGTTGGCGAACTTTAGCAACAAAGCTTGTTTTTTTCTGTGCTTCTAAAGAAGCAGTTATGTGATTTTTAAAATATATAACATGTCTAATAGCATACAGTTAAAACATCTGATTATGTGACAACATATTATAGTGTTAAATCATGGTGGTGAAGAAGAAAACTACTAAAGTGGAGGCGGTGGTATTGGATGAGGAGAAGCTATGCCAGCTTATCGGTGAGATTTCTACAATCTTTATGCTCCAGTTTTGAGTTTTCTGCTCATTTGCCTTCATTTCTTGCCCCACCAAGCGTCCCTCTCTGTGGACGGAGGCGCAGATGGAGTCAAACATCTTGCCCAGACCCTGCAGACCTGCTTACAGCTGACTGACGCCGTGCAGCAGATCCAGCTGATTAAAAAGGTCCGTGAATTATGATGTAGTGTTATGTGAAATAGTGGCGTTTCTAGCCCTGTATTAAACAGTATCAGCACCCCTGAATAGGATTGCCACCCATCCCGTAAAATACGGAGTCGTCCCATATTTGGCCGTTAAATGTGCGTCCCGTATTGAAAGATACATAATTATCCTATAGACACACTTATCACACACACATCAACAATAAGTTTAACAATAATTACCAAAATAAAACACAGGAAATATTAAGGTCAGCTAAATTATCGTGGCGGGAGCTAAACAGGACCCCCTGAACTATGAAAGTCAGTCCGTAGCGTTATAATAGCATTAGCCATTGAATAATAGCATTAGCCGTTGAAATCGACTTTTTTATCTTTACATCATGTTATAATGTCATTTCCTCGTAAAAAAAAAAAAAAAAAAAAAAAGGCGCTGCCCCCCCTCTGAGCTGCAGTTTCCAAGTTTCAGAGCTTCTGCCTCACAGAGCAACCCTCTTCCACTCAGCTCCTTCAGACTAGCCAGCAACAATTAGCAAACATCTGGTGGAACTGCACGTTTCGTTGTAGGAGCTACTTTTCAGTGAAACGCTGCTAAAAACGATGTCAAAGGGTTTAGTAGAGGAGCCATGCTGTCATCACTTCGTGAAGACAACTGAAGGTAACATAGTTACTTGATTGTGCTATAAAATGACACTCCGTGCCTGGAAAACACAAATTTCTGCGTATTCAGATGTTCATGCTTCATCAGGCTGGATCCCAGTTGGAGACTCTGAGTGAGGAAGACGCTGGTGAAGCACTGGATGCTTGTCTGAACGCCCTATCTCTGATCTACACCTCTGTGCAAGCAAAGAACCCCCTGAGACGGGCTGCAGCCAGGTAGAACTCGCCTTTAATTTCACATCTCTTGAACTTTTTTTACTGGGATAAACAACACAAAGTAGTAAAAAAAAAATGCTTTTCAATGTTTTTCACAGATTAAAGCCTGAAAAATGTTTAATATAAATAAAATGACCTCACCTTGTTGTGTCTTTCCTCAGTGCTCTCAGTTCAGTGCCTGAGTGTCTTCAGGGCCGGGCTGTGGATAGTCTGTCCTCCTGTTTGTCCGACTGTCTGTCCACTCCGTGCTCAGAACAGCATCCACACACCGTGGACACCATCGCCGCCTGCTTGGATGGCTTCCATCTCGGTAAGTAAGAAAAAAAAAATCACTTCTGCCTATTAAATCACTTGAATTGAAGCAATGAGTTTATGTTTTATTTTGTTTTTCCAGGTGAAAGATGTATTAACAAGCTGCTGCGTCAAGGTTTGTTTCCACTCATTTTAAAAAGTTTGAAGAGTTTCCTCTTTGCAGACTAAATTTCATCAAAGTCTCTTTGTTTTGTTTTGATAGTGTTAAAATTCATCTGCGAGGTTTTACAGGAATACCTTCAGCAGAACAGGTATGAAGACGAACTCTGTGTTTTTCAGCTGATTGATTAAAATGTAATCATTTAATGATTTATGGGAACTAATATTATTTTAAAAAACAATAATTGGATACTCCAGTTTGTGTTTATTATTGGTTTTCCTTAATCCACATAAGATTGAAAACGATACCAACAAGCAAGCATGGTAGTGGCAGCATCATGGTGTGGAGCTTTCTCACTGGCATTCGTACTAGTATGTTGTTGGTTTAATTACAAAAAATAACAACTACCTTCAATTTGTTTTACTTCAACACTCAAATATAAATAAATATTAAAATGATTAATCTGATTAACTGTGATTAATTGATTATTGAAATAATCATCTACTAATGGAGTAATTATTAATCATTAACTAGAGTACACAGGCTAAAAAAGGCAGTAGTTAAGCTAAAACTGTACAAAATACAAAACATTTTGCATTTAAGACAAAATGTTCAACATTTTCTGTAAATATATCTTACCCAGATGTCAAGCGGCGGGTTTAGCTTCGACTGGTTCAAAACCTGTAAAAATAAAATCTCCTATTAAGCTTCTTTTGTTATCAAATTATTAACCAGTAAATCCAAAAATAATCAGCAGATCAGATTGATGTCAAGTTGAACAGAAAGGAGTGAACTTTTCACACGTTGCTAGATTTTTATGCAAATGATCAAACTTAAACTAAAGGAATTTTAGGCAAAACTGTGTTTATTTTCTTCCTTAAAAAGAGAATTGAGATATTTACTTACCTGCATCTTTTAATGTATTTCTAACATTGTATTTAAAAAGCTGAAGTGCTTAAAGTAACTCAAACTGAATAGCCAGGCTTGTGTGGATTTAACAGTTCTTTCATTTCGTCTGTCGCCCCCTGCTGGTCACTCAGCGGTCTTGCAGGGCGCCACATCGCTCAGGCCCAGCTCATGCAGTCCTGCCTGGCTGCGGTGAAAACGTCCATGCTGGTTCTCCAGAGATCTCAGGGCGCCGTCGGGGCGGCGCCGCCGGAGCCGCTGGGCGGCCTGCTGAGCTGCTACATCCACATCCTCACTGACGGTCAGAAACAAAGAAACTACTCTTAACATTATTATTATTCACAGTATTTACTCTTGTCATGAGACGAGAGTCGTTTTGTAATCATTTTGTCTATGTAATTGAATTTTATTGTTGGCTCTTTAGCACATGGATATTATAACATGGTTTAAATTACAAATTTCAATAATTAACGTGTTAATATATTTAATCAAATTGAGATAAGGGGTGGTTCACTTCTTCCCACTCCATTTCTTGGTTGTGTATGCACATGTTTTCTCTGTCCTGCTGTTTGCTGTTGTTCTAGTTTCTAAAATCCTGTTTGAAATAAATCAAAAACCAAATCAAACCTGAATCTACTGGATTCTTCTGTTTTTCTCTCCACCTGCAGAAGAGTTCATCCAGGCGGTTCAGAGCACAGCAGGCATGGCCGTGGTTCTGCTCATCAGGTCCGTCATGGGCACCGGAGACGAAGTCGCCTCAGTGGTGAGTCCTGCCGTCTGGAAAAAGAAAGTACACCCTCTCAGTTCTGGTCAGAGGTAATAAATGTTAACATTAGCTTCTAAATCAGGTTTTATAATTATTTAATTCCAAGAATCGATTCTGGTCGTCAATATTTAAGCTGGAATAGAAGAAACAAAAAGCTCCTATGAAGGAGAGCAAGAACAAACAGAAATGAATTGATAAATTGGCCACAGAGAAGTACATTTCTGTAGAAATCTCTAGATTAATTTCTTGGATTAAATAAACAAAACATGGATGCTCTGTCAAAAAGAAATAAATAAGACATTCTTTGATATTGTAAAAGTAAACATTTGCAAGAAAAAAAAAAATTACATTTATGAGGAAAATAATAAGTTTTCCAAGACTGAAGTAAATCTTGGAGATGCAGATTTGGTTACTTCATCGTGTTGCAAACACACAACCAATTATTTTTTAACTAGTTTTTAGTGCAAAAGTCTTAGCATACTGAAAACGTTTCAGAAAGATACAGGAGTTTAAGTAAATAATTCCTTAATATTGATGAAAAAGTACTAGTTCCACTGGCAGATTTCTTCACTTATAACATGGGAAAATGTCTTTGTTCTGAGAGAAAAATCTGCTTTTACTAGTGCTTTTTATGAATATTCAATAACCTTTGACTGAGAACAAGCTCTTATATCTTGCTGAACCGACTATCAGGTGTGAAAACACCTGAAGAACTGATCTGAAATGGGAGGAATGTTTTCTTCTCCATATTTTTACGACATTCTAAAGAAACCAGAAACACTGAATCAGTACCTGAGTCATTCTGTGTGTTTCTGTGTGTCTGATGACTTCATCAGGTGAGCAGTTTGCTGCGTGGCTCCGCTCCGGGTTTGGACTCGCCCCCGCGGTGGCTCCAGCTGAGGTGCGAGGCTCTGTGTACGAGCGGACGGCCTCCGGGTGTGGCTCTGTATCTGAGCCACGGCGCTCTGGCCATGTTGGGCTGGAAAGGCTCTCTGCCCGGGCCGCAGTGGGAGGAGCTGCTGCTGCTGGTCCCAGAGACGCTGCTGGGCCTGGATGTCAGGTACGCCGTTTGAAAATGCTTCAGTTTTACTGTGGGAAAAGTGGACAAACCCTGGTTCTAGTTGCAGATTATTTTTAAAAATTATGATTATTTTTTATTTATTTACTTATTACATTTAAGGGGACCTATCATGCAAAATTCCCATTTTGCACATTTTTATACTTTCTTTTGGGTCTCTACTGCTGCTAAAACCAGTCCAACCCCTTAATAAAACCGCCCAGCTGCCTTTTGGCTACAAGTTAATGTTTTTTGGTGTATAAAAAATGAACAGTTTCAAAAACCTGCCAGCTATTGAGTGGCACTGCTCTGTTACCTAGCAACCACAGCAGAATTCCTCCTTTTACTGAGCTCCAGCCCGTTTAGTCAGCTGGTTTTACCGCTGCATGTGCTGTACAATGGCTGCTGGAAAAAACAAGCGCTTTGTTGTCGACTTACCATCCAGAAACCACTTGCTGCATTCTTGTTGGTTGTAAAGGAGGCTCCACTTCTGCTTTTCAAAGATATACATCTGTATAATTGCGCATCTGTTTGTAAACATTGAGTTCGGGGTGTGGCCAACAGCAGCTTATTTGGATTTAAAGTGACAAGAGGCCCTAAAACAGCTGACCAGACTAACGTCTCATTATCTTAGAATGATTTTGTGCAAAAAATGTGCTGGAGATGTTTTGTATAGACCATAAACCGACTCTAACCTGTTCAAGGAAGCCTAACAGGTCGCCTTTAAGGTGTTTTTCTCTTTATTTGCAGTGTAAAGGAGTCCAGCACAGCCATGGTGGTGGCTCGGGTGTTGACCCTCTGGAGCGGCGCCGCTCTGGACTGCCTGCAGGAGAAATCGGGCCTCTGTCCTCCCAGCCTCCAGGTGGCGCTCCGCGGTGGCTCCATACTGCAGCGCCACCTGCTGGAGCACATCTACTCCCACTGGGAGCATCCTCTGGACGGCGTCCGCCACCAAACCCGCTCTTTGTTCCACAACCTCCTCCTCCTGCATCGGTGCACGAAGCCGGCGGACTCGGACCCGGCGGACTCGGACCCGGCCTCCGATCCGTACGTGGCAGAACTGACCCGCAGCCTGCTGGGCCTGGAGTGGCACATGAGGGGTAAGTACGGCTCTCTGGGCTGCCTGGTGGAGCTCTACGGGGCGGAGCACCTGCTGGCCGTCCAGCCCCGTCTGCCCTCTCTCCTTCTGGACCTGATGGGCGATCAAACGCTGGCTCCGTATGCCAGTGACCTGCTGGAGAGGCTCTTCGTCAGCCACAAGGCACAGCTGGCGGCACGGGAATCGGACTGGATGGAGCTGTGGCACCGGACTTGGGTGAACCCCCTCCTGGACGTTCTGTGCCACACCAGGCCGGAGCAGACCACCTACATACTGGACTACTTCCTGCCCAAGCTGCTGCGGTGCAGCCCCTCCAGTCTGGCACACATGGTGCGCGCCCTGCAGGGGGCGCCGCCCTGCAGGACAGGTACGGAACTAACACAGTAGTGACCAATCGCTCAAAAACGAAGACTAACAAGTACAGATGCAAGTTATCGATTAATGAGTTAATCTAACATTGATTGACCTGAGCGGCCATTTTCTTAAAGGGGCAGTATTATTTAAAATCGACTTTTTTAAAAGTGTTACGTTATGCTATGATGTTGTTTACTCATCAAAAACACACCTGGAGTGTTGCTTTGATTCTTTCATGCATGTTTGAGAAATCATGCATGATTGCATGTGCAAAATGCCTGGGTGGGCTTAGCCCCGCCTCCGAGGTGAAGCTCCTCCTCTGAGCTGCAGTTTCAAAGGTCCAGAATTTCTGCCTTCTTACAAAAATAATCTTAAAAAATAAATAATCTTGGGCTTAAAGTGGATTTTTCATCCCAAACCAGACTATGTTTGGACCGTTTCTCTGTCCTGCTGTGTGATAGCTGCCATTTTTAACAGCTTAAGAATGACCACCAGCACCCTCTGCTGGACAGAGGCCAAACTACAACAATAAAAGTTAATCCATTGGAACTATTTTTAATCTAATGAGCCATTAAGCAATAATTGATTGATTAGTATCCCTAATTCCAATGTGTTCCTGAATTATCAGGTCCTTCATCCAGCAGAGGAGCTGTGGGAGCCTTGATGACCTGCCTGCGGGCGGCCAGAGCCCAGGGAGTCGCCGCAGCCTCAGAGGAGAGTCTGTGGGGCGGGTTGATCCCGCTCTCACTGCTGCAACAAGCACTCATCCACAAACATGATCAGGTGAGCTCTCCCACTTTTCCAGGTCACAACTGTAACCCAACACTAAGTAGGGAATAACTGTGGAGCGCCTTCATAGCACTTCAGCAGAGAACAGCCAGAAAGAGCTAAACTACAACACTGAAAGAACGTCTAAGGGACGCTAATAGTTAACACATTGGAACAAATTTTAATCTAATAAACCAGTGCTTGAAAATTAATTGTAAGTCGATTAATTCTTTGCATCCCTACTTCACAAGTGCGCCCTACTTTCTGTTGGTGAATCCCGAAATATCCCAGTAAATCATGGAGTTGGTTCTCTGGTTCCTGCAGGTGAGGATGGACGCTCTGGGTTTGGTGTGTGAGAGCCACCGCAGCACCGAGGTTCTGACCTCACAGGAAATGGATCTCATCCGCCATTTCCTCCCTCCCAATCTGAACAGCCAATCACCAGGCGTCAGGCAGCAAACTCTCAGCCTGATGAAGAAGGTGAGGCCCTGATTGTACACCATTCTTGTTCGTTGAGTCAATCAGAAGTGATCTGATAAATTGACGCCATGTCCATCCATCCACCCATTTTCTTCCGGGTCATGACCGACTTTCATTCCAATAGAGCAATTTTTGCAGCCATGAGAGCGATTTCAAAATTATTTTGGGGTCAAAATTCCACCCTGTTTCTCACTCTAAAAAAGCGGCAGTTGGTGTCAGTTACACTCTGCGTTTCGGCAGTTGGAAATTTCGCTCGTTTTTCGCGTCGCCATCGTGACTCCAATCCCCAATAATAATAGATCCTTTCTTGGCATCGAATATATAATAAAGAGACATTCTATTGGGTGCCTGCCATGCAATGCATGGAGGCAGTTTATTTTCAGAACAAAGTAAAAAAAAAAAAAAAAAAAAAACAGATGTAACAAAGTCTGAATCCCACCAAATCATCAAGATTGTTTTTTTCTTTTACAGTACCCTATAAAGAAAGAGCTAGCTAATTATAAACCACCTAGAAGGTAGTCCACAGAAACGATAAGTTTCTAAAAATAAATCTCCATCACAAAGAAAAATAACTGAAATAAAATCTAAACAGATGGAGAAACCAGCTGCAATATTCTAACAGAAAACCAGAGGGAATAATTATCCTTGCATGCAATACCTTAACCAAAAAAAAGAAGAAGAAATCAAAACTGGTGAAATCCAGGTGTTTTGTTGTGCGCCTCCTGTGGGTCTACTACTGACCTTCGAGGTATTTTGCCCCAAAAATTAAGGCCATGATCCCCATGATGTCCATCACTATAACGCCATACATCTTGGTTTCCTGCTTCTTGACAGTTTATTCCTCGGCAGTCTCCGTTACAGAGGAAGCTGTCTTCCTATGTTTTTTTGTCTCACGAGAAGTCTCCAACTGTCACCGTGACCCCAGAGTGGACCCTGACGGTGCCCTGGTTCTCCTGCTCCCGTCTTCCAACTAGGGGGCTCTTGGTGTCCGTGCCTGTCTCCACCGTCTGTGTGGTCTCCCACTTCCTCGACAATGTCACGGCTCGTCTCCATTCCTCATGGCGACATGAGGCTCTTGGGATGTGACGCCATGTTTTGTCATTAATTGTTAACACTGTGTAACATATTACTTATGAATATTAGCATGATTGAATAAATAACCAAATTAAATCAGAAAATACTTAGGTTAGACTGCTGGAGGGAGTGGTAACTTTGTACAAACACAGTGACAGACAATGGAATGGTGCAAAATAAGTGATATGCATTAATATTTACAGACAAATCAGTCAAGACAGTTCATGAAATCCAAGGTGTTTTCCTTTATCCAAGGAATTCAACCAGTTCCTTGATGGTGCCGAAAAAGATCATCCAGTTCCATTCAGAGAGGTCCAATCCAGAGTGAAGATGGTTTACTGGTGGCCTGAATATCTCCTCCATAGTTGGGAAGGAGGTAGCAGAAGGTGCCGTTTCCTTTGGTGCTACATGGTTTCTAGCTCGCAAGTCTGATCCACCTGACAGACATTCAGAGTCCTGGAGACGGTGATCCTGGAATGGGAACCTGGCCTGTGTAAAAACAGGCCCGATTGATCAATCTTCGGTTTTGTCTAATAATCATACATGTACATGTTTTCTGATCACTGTAGTGAATGAGTTTATATTATAACCATAAAACTCAATCATTACAATTTAGCATACAATGGTTAGCGTTTTATAATTCAAAATACTTTCAGTTTAAATGAGTCATCCGGGTGACTCAGATCAGTTCACACTGACCGAGCCCAAACAATAGCCAGGAGCTAGTGCTAGCATGCTAGCTCCTGGCATGCTAGCTCCCGAACAAAACACAAACACTCACCAGTTCCGACTTGTCAAACCTTGTGATCCGGTGAAGGTTTTAATCCACAACGAGGCATATGAGTGGAAGACAGTATTGTAGACACTTGCTAGAGGCTTACAACCGGCTAGCAGCCTACCTGCACCAGCGTCAGACAGCGTATCCGACCCAGTCTGCTGTTTTCCAGCCATATAAGCCGCAGAGGACGCTGACCTATGACGCTGACGTGCAGCTGGTCATGTGACCTTAAAACCACGCGAGAACGAACAGATTGTCGTTTAATCTGGTTCATACTCCAGTCCAGAAGGTGGCGGTAATGCACCTGAAAGTTGTTTGCCAACCGCCATAAAACAAAAAGAAGAAGAAGAAGATTGTCGTTTATTCTCGTTTAGTTTATTTTGTGGTAAAGAAATTAAGAAGAGGATTTTATTTTTAAATAAATAAAACTGAATCTAAAAAAAATTTAAAAAAATTATCCTGGTTACAACTGCAATAGCTAGCTAACAAGGTCCAAGAGATCAGTAAACAATTTGTTTGATTTTTAGTATATTGAGAAAGTGGGAAATAGCTTGACTTTGACAACTATAACATGCACCTGTGTTGCGAAGTGCGTTGTGTCAATTAACGCTAAAATAATGCCATAATTTAAGCCTTATTTTATAGAAGAAATTATGACGGTATGATTGTGACCGATTCCTGCTCATGCGCATCGGAACAGTTTGGCTCAATGCGCGTTGCTAGCTGTAGAGGCTAATAGGTTCTGTCCAGTCCAGTATGTTGATGGTTGTCGGTTCCTCGCAGTCTGATAAACCACCTGCTGTGCTTCAGTTGCTCTGCAGGGTGAAGGACAGCAGCCAGCTGCTGCAGAAGAGACTCGTTCAGGAGCGCCGGGCTGAAGACCAGCGCTCCCTGGATCAGTACAGGGTGAGCAGAGAGTCGCTGCCACAATCATCTGATCTGAACCGGAACTCTAATTTTAGGGAATCTTCTTGGTTCCAGGCTTTTCTTCGCTGGCTGAGTGGGAACCTGCTGGAGGTTTTGCTCCCTGGAGCCTCCTTCTCCAAATGCCTCCTGTCCCTCAGCCTGCTGAACCTGCTGAGTCAGCTCTTCTCCTTCACCGCTGGTAACCATGGTTACGACCAGATGCTGATAACTGATCCATCCGTCTCTAACCGCCGCCTCCTCCTCACTCCGTTTCCCAGAGCCCGGCCTGTTCGCCCTCGGTGAGGTCGTGACCCCCACACATGCTCAGAACGTCCTGAACTGCGTGGCCAGCAACTTCCTGGAAGTGAAGCAGCTCGCCACGTCGCTGCTGAGCCAGCTTCCTCCATCTGCTGTTGGACTCCAGGTTAATATTCTGTCCATGTGGGCAGTGAAACCAGTCTGACTTCTGGAGAAACACTAAATGTTTCCTTCCTTCCCTGAATCCTTCAATTGGTTTCCTTATGTCTGTTATTCCTTGCTTCCTTCACTACCTTTCCTTCCTTTCATTTTTGCATTGTTTCCTTTCCTTTTATCCTTCCTTCTTACCTGCCGTTCACCTTTCCATCTCCTTCCTTCCTTATATCCTTTGCTTCTTTTTCTTCCATCCTTCTTCCTTTCCTTCAGTCTGAACTGTATTTTTTAAATCCGACTGATTAAACTCTTAAACTCTGGTTTTCTCTGTAACTCTGTGAGGATGAATCTTTCTCTCTCTCGTTCTTTTCGTTTCTCCTCCAGTTTTTCTCTGATTTGTCGTTTCGATCAGCTGTTTCAACGCCGATCCATTTGTTTCTTCCCAGGTTCCGGAGACGATGCTCTCTGTTCTCCGGGCCGCTCTGGACCTCAGCACCAGCACCAAACCCTACGACAGTGTCACCGCCGCCCACCTGCTGCACCTGCTGCTGCAGCAGCCAGACCTGATCCCGGTTCTGCTGCGATGCGATCCGGGTCTGGACCTCCAGATCCGGCCTGAGGCGTCCCGGTCGCTCATCCTGGAGCTCAATGCGCTGGCAGGTAAAAACCGCTGCAGCCTCAGCAGGTCGTAGCGTTGATCACATGTCTGCAGTAACAAAGTAAAAGTAACTTATTACTTTACTGTAGTAAATTTTTCATCATTTATTTTTACTCACTTCCTCCTGCTTTCTTCTCCTGCGGTGTCAAACTCATTTTCGTTTTGGGCCAAATTAAGATCATGAATTATCGCTCTTAAAGGGCCGGTGAGACATTAATAAATTAGTAAAATTAAACAATATTGAACATCTTTTCAGTCCCTCCAGGATTTTGTGATAGTTTTTGTAATAAAAAAGTTTTTGTGGTGCTAATTTAGAAATATTTTTATTACTCGATTAATCTGACGTCAGTTAAGGCTGAGGCAGCTGTTAGCATTGCTGAAACTGAAATGTTTTGACCATTTTTTGAAAAATTTGCTGGGATTTGTTGATTTTGTGTTAATTTCCACGATAATTCGCAAGAAATTGGAGAGACTGATTAATGTAATCTATCAGAAGATAGATAAAAAACTGCTTTAATTTGATTGATAAAATAATACTGAAGCACCCTGGGGCCATATAAAAAGGTTATGGGGGACCGGATTTGGCCCTCAGGCCTCGAGTTTGACACATTTTCACTCTTTACTTCCATGATGAAAAAAACAAAATCAAATGGTAAAAAAATCCACCGATCGCACAAAAAGTAGAACTTTTTAAGTATTTTAGACGCGTCAAAGTCATTTTGTATTCTTGAAGGTGGAAATTACTTTTTACTTTTTCTATTTGAGTAGATTTCAAAACTTATTCTTTACTTTTAGAGTATTTTCTCATACCAGTGTCTGTAATTCTACTAGAGTAGAGAGTGTGAGTGCTGTTGTCACCTCTGACCGTTTTTCTCGTCTCAGTGATCCGGTTGCTGCTGCGCCGTCTGCAGACGGAGCTGTCCGGAGCCGAGGCGTCGCTGCTGCAGGCGGCCGCTTCGTTTCCGCTCTACGGCAGAGTGCACTGCATCACTGCCGTCCTGCAGCGTCTGAACACAGAGTGAGCATGAGAACCGCTTTTTATCTTAAATTTAGGCCTTAAAATGTCTTAATTGAATCAGAAAATATGTTGATCACAGTCCTAATTTAATTATGGTTTAATTAAACATAATAGTCTACGTAGTTTATGTTTCATCAGACAAATGTTTTGCGATATCTTTAGTTTGCGGCTAACGCTAACTAGCTGCAAACAAACCCGAGCTAGCTAGGAAGCTAGTTAGCTTTTTCGCTTCTACCATTGGTAAGTAGGGATGGACAATAAATTGATATGTATTAGATAAATATCAACTCGTAATAATATGTCTGGTTTATAGACTATTCACTGAACTCCGATCCAGAACTGCACAGCATTCTGGGAAATGTAGGCAGATGAAAAGGCGTTAACTAGCACAGCCAGTTAAGCTAGGCTGGTGGAATCAGCTACGACGTTTGTCCTCGCCACTGGCTCATTCCTGTCACCAACCCGAACGACGCTGCGTGCGTTCTGTGATAATCTAAACAAGAAATTTTCTTTCATACATTTCTACAGTGATACAAATCTTAAATTTAATTAATAAAGATCTTAAACGGTGTTAAGTTTGAGCTGGTGAAACCCCGTGGTTGGTCCTCTAGTGTAAATCTGATCTGTGCGTCTGGGCTCTGAGGTGTTTGAGTCAGACGGAGCAGTGGACGGGTCTGGTGTCGGAGCTGATCGCCGTGTGCTACCGGATGTCCGATGTGGTGTCCCCGGTGGTCCAGAGCTCGTCCCCGGAGGGACTCATCCCCATGGACACCGACTCTGGTAAGGAAAGTAAGCCTAAGATTAGCGAGTAAGTAAACATTATTTGTTTCAAGTAAGCAGCTAAAGCTAGCTGCTTACTAGCAGCAAGTATTGCTAATACTTGCTAATACTTTAGCAGGTATTAGCAATTCTTGCTAAAACCAAGTATTTGTACTTGGATACGTGCAGTGAAGTACTTTTTAACACAGACAAAAAATCACAATTTTCAAACAAATCAAGTAGAGTAAGGTGGTGAGACTTTTCATCAACAAAGTCACTTACTAAAACTGAGTGTGGATAGAAATGTGATGGAACTGATTTAACTGACTATTTTCAATTAAGTACATTGTTTGCCTTTACAGTGTAGTTGTCCTCTTCTCCTCCGTCCTGTAGGGGAAACCTGTGAAGTGTGTTAATAATGAGTGTTTACACAGAGACGACTGGAGGTCTGCAGAGGATCCTGCAGGAGATTCAGCCCAGAGACTCCAACGACTTCTTCAACAGCGCCAGAGAGCTGGAGAAACCCGAAGGAGATGATCAAAGTCAGGCCCAGACGCAGCGCACACCGCCGCTAAACGCAGGTGCAGGAAATTGCCATAATTTTAGTTGGTTGAATCTTGCTCTCTCTTGCAGTACCTGATATGTCCAAAAGGGGGAGGTGTTTCATCTTTTTTATGTTTCTTGTTTACATGTTGCTCAGTTAAAGTTTAGTTGTATCCCACATTTCAGCAACAAGATAGTTCAAAATGCTTTATAAGGCCTCAGCTCGGTTGAAGTGAACTTTGGCACAGTTTTATTTCTTACTTTGTTTTTATTTAACCTTTATTTTAACAGAATAAAAATCCCATTCAGATTAAAAACCTCTTTCCCTCAGAAGACCTGGACAAGAGGCAGGACAGAGTAGAGAGAAAACTGTGGACTCCCTGCCTGGACTTAACTAATTAAACAGTTAAAAGAAAAAGTCATGCTATAAAATCAGGTACATGTTATAGAATCGGCCTCAAGAGCTTTTAGTTTGGATTTAAAAGCACTAAATGAGACGAGTTCAGTCAGTCTCAAAGTTTCTGTTTCATCTGCTTCATCTGTGTAAAAATGCAAATTAGCATCAGGTTTGAATGGATGTGTGGATGCAAGTGGACAAGAAATCGTTCCAAAGCAGCAAGTGGATTACAGCGCAGGGCATTCTGGGTAAATACAACCTAAACGGACATGCTAATTCAGCGCTAGCAGGAGAAATGGTTCATTTACCAAAGATAAAAGATAAGTCCTAGTTGCTAAAATCTTCATTTTTGTTTACATGTGAAAAAGGAAGTCGCGTTCAGTGTTTTTTTCTGAAGTTTTCATGTCGTTTTTTTCAGCAGTTCTTGTTGCAGCGCCCCCACAGGTGAGGAGGGGAACAGGATTTTAATTAGTTTGGTTTGTTTGACATCCTGTTGTGTGAAATCGAACCACAGCAGCTGAAAATGTAACAAATGTTACAACTTTGGATTCGCCTTCTCTCTCTCTCTGATTGACATCAGTCTGTTTGGAAATATTCTTGTAACCTTTCCTAAACAGTAGGCCAGTGATTCCTGAGGTTATTGCAGATGGGTTGTTTTTTGTTTTTGGTTTGGTGTTGTTTTCACACACATACACCTGTGTGCTCCAGAGCTTCAAACTGTCTAGATTCCTGCTTTTATAGAGCCAATCTTACTGATGTTGACAATTATGTAGGTGCATTTGATTAGGAACACCTGGCTGCTACTTTCCCACCTCGTCCCTTGAGGAAGCAGGAAGTTTTGACATAACTTTTCACACACAGCTTTCCTTTTGTCAGTATTATAATAAAAGTAACAGAATTGCTAGACTTGAAAGAGGTTATATTGTCTTTTTATCGTGATTTTCAGTTTGTTGAATTTCTTTCTCTTGCAGTACCTGGGTTGTCCAAAAGGGGGAAGTGTTTCCTCTTTTTATGTTGTTTATTTACTTGTTAAAGTTTATTTGTACGGCACATTTCAGCAGCAAGAGTTCAAAGTGCTTTGTAATAAAAACAGTAATACAGTAACCATTCAGTAAAGAGCAATAAACATTATGTTGTGTCAAATCCAATCATCAAGCAAATATATTGATTAATATTCCAGTTATTATAAACCAAAGGCATCTCTACACGGCTGGGTTTTTAGCCTTGATTTAAAGGGAGTCGGTGTTTTGGCAGTTTTGCAGTTTTCTGGAAGTTTGTTCCAGATTTGTGGAGCAGGAAAACTGAATTCTGCTTCTCCGTGTTTGGTTCTGGTTCTGGTCCAGAGCAGACCAGAAACAGAAGACCGGAGTGGTCTGGAAGGTTGACTTAGTAATTAATTTCTGTAATTTTTACAGTTTACTCATCCAAATGAATCGGTGTGACATTTTCAAACAGTAAGAGTGAACAATAACAAAACGTCCATGTTTGGAACCACAGATGTCTTCCTTCTCACCTCACTGTGTGTGTGTGTGTGTGTGTGTGTGTGTGTGTGTGTGTGTGTGCGTGTGTGCGCGCGTGTTTTCTCCAGATGGGGAGGGCTACAGAGTGACGGCTCAGATGGTGCTGGTATGTTGCTGGCGGAGCATGAAGGAAGTGGCCATGCTGCTCGGTCAGCTCTGTCAGACTCTGCCTCTGCACTACAGCAATGAAATCGAGCCGACACACCCCGGGCTAATCACAGAGCAGCAGGTATGCTAACCTCCTCGTCACTGGAGCTCTTCACAACACCCATAAATACGAGAAGCACTGGGACGGACGGGAAGTCTGTAGTATCTGATACCACAACAATATTTACTGCTAATGCTACAAATGTAGTTGCAGTCAGAAGCTTTTATTAAGTCATCCAGGAAGTGGCTGCCATGTTTTTGTTAAAATCCATATACATCATTCACTACAAATAAATCAGGCTAGTGAGGAATAATCATAATTATTGTAATAATAGTAAAATATTTACATAAAAACATGTAAAAGCATATTAATATAGAAAAAGATGAATTTCCCTCTCCCCCACCTCTCAGTTGTCCTCATACACACGTAGGTAGGTCTTCATAAAAGGACATATGTCTGCCACATCTTTAAAAATAATATAATAGACACAGGATCAATTTCAGAAAAGTTTATATCCACATGAATCCACTCTAATTTGCCTCTGAGCGTTGTAAACACCCCTGACCTATAGGGGGCAGTGTAGCACAAGTCTAAAACCTGTCAGCCAGTCAGATTGGTTAAAAAAAACACGACTTCCTGCTGGGAATTGAACATAGTGACAGGAGGTTTTTTGAACTACTTTTAAATAGCGTTTTAGAATATAAAATTAATAAAACACAAGACAGTTTCCATTGGGAATCATGTCAAGTAATATATTGGCACATTATTTATAAATCTCCGTTTCCTCCTTGTTCACATGCAAACACAAATAGAGTTTTCTCAAATCTCCACCTTGGTCTGAATTTTTATAATAATTGTGTTAAATGATATTGAATGGAGTTCTTGTGTGGATGAAAGTCTAAAACGTTTTCGTTTCCCAGATATGCGGATATGTTTGAACTAGGCCTTAATCCTGCGTTTGGACGTAACCTTGAAAAAGCATCAAGACTCAGGCACCCAAAAGATAAAGAGACAGACAGCGGGGTGATAATCTCCTGGTCCTTGGACTCTGTCTCCCTCCTGTAAAGTTTCGGCATAATTGTAGAAATTGTAATATTATTTCATCAATTGTTTGACTTTGATTCAACGGATAACTTTAGACCATGAATATATACATAAATAATGAAAATAATGAATAATTAATATTATAAGTGCATATCCTAATACATTAATATTTATTTATTGTAAAATAGTGTTAAGGTTTCTTTAAAAAAGTTGTAAATTTTATGCCATTTAGCTGAATTTTAGAAGCATTGATGGTAAAACAAACATATTTTTACTTAATTTCATATTCTTGTTTAAGTATTAGCAACACCAATAAAATGGAAAGTCTGTTTCATTCCTTAAGTGCCTGATGGGTATAATTAGCATCATACTTAAAATTGTAATGTTCAAATTAATAATCTCTAATTAAGACAGCAGAGCAGCAGTAACAATATAAATTTAGGCATTTAGAAGTTGATATTTTTCAGGCCAGTGTGTTTATAGATCAGTGGGGATGAGTAAGTGCTACTAATTACCTCCGTTTTCTCTCTGATTAGCGCAATAATGATGCTTTTACTGGTTCCTTCCAGCTGAATCTGAAATGTTGTAGAAACCGGAGCAGCTGTTGCCTCCTCAGCCGCGTTGGAAATCGAGTGTCTGTGTGTTTGTGACCCCACACTGGGAGGCTCTTCAATTAGCATCCGCTCTCGTTAGTGGCGCGCTTTCATTTGGGGCGCAACCCTGCTGGTTTAACGGCCGCGACGCACCTCCCTTTTCCACTGCATTCTTTCCAAATCACTTCCAACACCAGCAGGAAAGCACCGACACACACACACACACACATACACAAGAATAGTTGTCTGAGTGTTTCAGCATGTCCATAATAACATGAGACCCAGACATCGCCTGTGTTTGTCTGCGTGGGGGGGTGAAGGAGCCATGTTTGTGTTTTCCCCTGGATCTGAAGAGAAAACAGGGAGAATTAAAATGTTTGTGTTCTTTATCAGCAAAATCAAATCCAAAAAACTTTCATTAACCCACATAAGATTTGAAAAACAAGCAAACTGATCAAATAATGGGGTGAATGTCTGATTTTCAGGTTGGATGCCAAATGTTGGTAGAGTTCAAGTTTATAACCAGCCAGTAAAAGCCTGATTTGTGCTTCATTGTGTTTTAAGCATCGCTCTGACTTAGGGCTTCAACTTTTGATTATTTTAGTCATCGATTAATTGATTAATCGGATAAAAAATTGGCACATTCTGCAGATTTTCTCTTTAACCACCACCAAATCTTTTTAATTCAGTGACAATATATTTATTTTTAAGGCTTTTGGCAAAACTTTACGCTATGCTTTAAGGTCATTCTGTTTGGCTGAAACAATTAATCAAATTAATTGTGATTAATTGATTTTCAAAACAATGTCAACTAATTCAATAATCAACTAATCGTTAATCAGAGTATAGAGACTCCAAAAAAGACAATTTGCTGAAAGAACAACATTAACAACTTCTTTGTTCTGCCAAAAACTCCTCAAGCTTCACTCGGTTCAAATTCTGCTAAAAAAACAACCAAACCTCCTATTAATCACTTTTTGCTATCCAATTATTAATTTAAAAAACATAAACACATCAACACTGTATAAATGTTAAGCAGAAAGGGTTGGGCTTTTCACATTTTGATGTTAAAAATATTTTTTTAGCTCCAGTTGCTTCAAATGATCAAGTGTTAACTAAATAAATGCTGTTATTGCATTTTAGGCTATAAATTTTTATTTAAAAAAGGAATTGAATAATTTATTTTACTCTTTTAACGTATATCTAATATTGTATATATCCCAAATCTTTTTATTGTTTTTATTTTAATACTGTATGTAAAAACAGGAGGAGGGTGTACTTTCTTTTCACCATTATGCGATCATACGTATAAAAATGATGCTGCAGCAGTGAAACCGTTTCAGCGGTGGGCTCACCTGGTCACACCTGAGGTAGAACGAGAGGACATAATGGGAGAGGACATCCCAGATCCCATGCTGGCTCCAGTAATCATGCCAGTTGGTCTTATTATATAAAATCTGGTTTAACAAACACGCGCCATGGACCAGGCGGACAACAGGAATGATTGAACTCTTCACCGCAGCCTTTTTCCCCCATTGCCTGTTCGAGTTCAGAAACATGTTGGCATCACCGGTCAGAATGACTCAGGACTCATTCCTGAATCAGGAGAGGATATAAGTGGCCAAATGTGAGTATCTTCCAAAATATGTGGTGGCTGAGCATCTCCTCATCTGGGATCCGCCACTGGCCCGGTTTTTGTTTTTGGGTTGGAACCGTGGCAACAGGAACATCTCATTCCTAGAAGGACACTCGTAGTATTGGTTTCAGTGTTTTCAATCTTGTTAGACCCGAGCAGCTAAGCACTGCAGATTGTAATCATAGCATTTCTTTGCCAAGTGAATTGGCTTTTTGGAGGCCTAAACATGTCTGAAAACTCAACAAACTTGACGGACAAAAGGGAGAAATTTACGCATTTTTAAGGTCATCGCAAAAATCCCAGCAGAAACGGCTCAATAGGCGACTTTAAAAATGCTCTCCACATTGACCTTACTTTGTCATAGAGGCATGAAATTGGGTACAGTTGGAGAACTCCTGAAGATGTACAGAAAATTCTCTACACCAAACAGGAAGTCGGCCATATTGGATTGAAGTTCCAATTTTGACCCCATTTTTGCCGTTTACAGCTTCCACATTTGATTGAACTCTACCTAGAGATTTTGACCAATTGGTTTCAAACTTGGTCATTTTGTTCATTACCCATTGGGGAATAAAAGTTATCAAAGCGGAGAGTTTTCGGTCATCCTGAAAGGCCTCGAAGTTTGACATCTTACCATGAAACACAATCTTCCAAACAAACTCACTGAGAAGCTAAACCTTCAGTGATTCATCCGCATCAGCAATACCCAATGGTCAAATCATGACATCACTCAGGCCACGCCCACTGAGGACAGGAAGTGTCATGTTTTACTTTAAACGGTTCCTATCTGACCCCTCAGAGTCTGCAATTAATTAATCACAATTATAAATATATCGACAAAATAAGCAACATTTTCTACTCATTAACCTTTTTTTGCTTCTAAATAATTGAATGAATAAAAATATGATCTCAACAACAAAGATGCTTAATGTTTTTAATAAAGTGCATCTTCCAACACAATACGGTTTTATTTTTAAAGCACTTTAAAACAGCACTGTTTGCCCAAATGTACACTAAAAAAAATAAAACAGACATTCGTCATTTATGTAACTTTGAAAAAATGTGAACTGTGGATGCTAACATTAGCATTGGGATGTTTTGCTGCTGCAACAGGTTTACCATTCAGATGCTATTTTAGGCTTATGGCTAACTTAAACACAAAAATAGTCTTTGCCAGGGTCCAATAAGATAATTTTTAAACCAGAAATTAACCCTCAGTGAGCCAAGAAAAGCAGCTTTGTCGTCTGTTTGCTGTTTCTATTTGTACCAGAAACGAGCAAATGTAAACAGGCGATTAATTGCGATCCAAATTTTAATTCATTAAAATCTATGCAATAAATTATTCAAAACTGATGCATTAAAGTTTTGACTCTAAATTTTCCAAAGGTGCTACATATTTACTTAAATTTCTCAAACTATAAATAAGCCGACCAAAAGATACGGCGGAGCGTTTTATGGAGGCGCCAGCTCTGTTTGGCCACTTTGCTTTTCGTTCAAAAATATCTCCATTTTGTAAAATGTCCGTTGAGTTGTCTCCTCTGGCCTGGAGTGAAGCCGCCGCAGAAACTAAAATAAAAAAGAGATGCTGGTTTTCAGGCTGATTCACATGTTGTTTAGTTTAGCGTTTGTGGTCCATTTATTGACCTTTTTCATCCATGCATGGTCCATTTCATGACCTGCACTGGGCCTTGTGTGCAGCAGGCCACCAACACTGTGATTCATCTGGTTCTGGTGGTGAGGAATTCTTTTAGTTTGGTGAAAATCTTTACTTTTCTTTTCACTCTTGCTGTTATTTTCATCCACTCTGCCCTTCTTCGCTCTCCTCTTCTCCTCCTGTGATTTCATCCACCTCCAGTAAATCGACTCCTCGTAGTTTCCCTTTCCCACCTTTGCTGTCGGCGTCTTTGCTGCTTTCTGATCGTCTCTTTTAAACCAAAGTTGTTGCCTTTGCAGCAATCTCTCCTTCCTAACATACATGTGGGCGTGGTTTGCAGCAATCCCTTCTCTTTGGATGGCTGATTTGACCCATCAATATTGTAGCAAAAAGAAGGTAATATATTTATAAAATATATTATTTAACTTAAAAAATATTGAATTGTGTTAAAAAATAAACTGGATATTTTGTTAAATTAAAAATATTTTATATAGTGTATAGAAAGAGGAAAATATATTTATTAAATATTTTCTTTAACTTAAAAATTATAGAATTATGTTAAAAATTAACTGAATATTTAGCAAAATTTTAAATATTTTATATGGTTTATTAAAAAAGAAAATATATTTATAAATTTTCTTTAAATAAAATTGTTTTTGATTATGTTATATTAAAAAAAATGAATATTTTATAAAAATCTGAGTTTATTACTTAATAAAACTTTTGTCAAATATTGCTTATATACATTTTGAGAGGCTGAAAAAGTACATATATTTCTGAAAATAAAATAAGTTTAGTTGGGATATTTGTCCTAATCTAAAATTGAATGATTTTAGTTATAGTTGCTTTCAGCTGGTTTTAATTATCGGACCTCATTCAGACCAGAACCGTTTCTCCCGTAGCAGAATCTTCAGAAGTTTTTGTAACGGAGGAAGTTTGCTATTTAGGTTTCTGCCAGCGCTCCGAGCCGTACATGTAATTAGACTCAGGGAAGCATCTCTCTCTCTCTCTTTCTCTCTCTGTTTGTTTCTCTTTATCTGGATGGCAAGTCAACATCCAGAGAGATGTTGACTTTCTGGACTTTCTCTCTCTCTCTCTCTCTCGCTCTCTCTCTCTCTCTCCCTCCACATGGATTTTTTTTTCTTCTGGGAAACATTTGCAAACAGGAAGTTGATGTCTAAATAAAGCCCTCGCTGTTCCCTCCCTCCTGCCCCCCACGCCCTGCACAGGAAGCCTGCACGGCCCTTTTTAACGGTTACACAGACGGGAACCTTCGGAGGGGGAAGGCTTTAAATAGGTTGGGCCCGCTCGGCACCGCAGCGGTCTGGGCTCCGGCGGCCGCCAGCCATCTAACGGTGACTGTCGCTGCCATTTTTACCCCCGGTGAGGTCAGTCCTGTCCTGGAGCCCGTCGCGATAAGTCATTGGGCTTGGTTCTGCTGCGGTCCGCTCTGTCCGGCTGAGGGTCAGTCGGCCAGATTAAAACATCAGACTAAGGCTGTCTAAGCCCTACGTCCTTTCTCCTCCTGAGGATTCTCGGTTTCATCTGTTGCTTCATCTTCAGATGTTTAACGAGTAACACGGGTTTTTGTGTTTCCTGTTCTGGTTTTTCACACACAGATGCTTGAAATCCTTTCAATTAGGTGTTTTTGCCTAATTGAAATTCAAACAGCAAAGTTTAGTAATAAAGTGCAGTCTAATGATTGATTAAAAGTTTAAATTAGGTAAAAAATACATTATTTACAGTTGAAACGAACTATTTTCATACACCTGATTAAAAAAGACACAGACATGTTTTTTTCTCACCATCTGAAGTTAAATCAGACTAAATTTTTCTTATTTTAGGTTAAGAGTTACCAAAATTATTTCTATTAGCTACATACCAGAAAAGTTGGCGAGAAAATTATTTTAGACATTTTTTTGTTTATTGTGTTTAAGCATTTAATTTGAGCAGGAAAGTCATTCACCTTAAAGTGGATCAATTATGGAAAATTCACACTTTGCATGTTTTTGTACTTCTGTTTGTGTTTCTACTGCTTCTGAAAACAGCAAAGCGCTTTAAACAATCCACCCAACTGTATTTTGGCAATAAGTTAGTTTTTTTGTGTGTGTCTGGAAAATGAGCCGTTTCAAAGACCTACTTAATGTAGTGTCACAAATCAGTAGACATGGTCAGTTACCCTGCAACCCCAGCAGAGTTCTGCCCGTTGCCTAGCAACCCGAGCTGAGCTCCAACACATTTGGTCAGCTGGTTTTACCGCTGTACGCTCTGTACAACGGCTGCTGGAAAAGACAAGTGTTTTGTTGTTGACTTGCCATCCAGAAACCACTTGCTACATTCTTGTTGCTTGTGCAGGAGGCTCCACTTCTGCTTTTCAAAGATGTACAGTTGTATAATTGCGCATCTGTTTGCAGCCATTTTCATGTCTGAGTGTAAACGTTGAGTTGGATGGCGTGGGCAGCATGTGATTAATTGGATTTAACAGCGGATGGGCAGAACTGACCAGACTAAGATCTCAATATCTAAGAATGAATGTGTGCAAAAAATGTAATGAACAAGTTTTGTATAAACTGTAGACCTATCCTAACCTGCAGTAGTGATTCATTCTTATTGTTTTAGTCTCCAAAGTGTGATCCTTGAAAGGTCAGAAGAAGCAGGAGTTTTACTGTGGGAAACGAGCCGAGCAGTCCGTATCCGGGCTGTTTGTGCCTCTGGACGGTGCCACCCCTCCCCGTGCCCTCCATGCCACCCCTGACTAAGCCGGGCCTGGCTGCTGCGCCGGTGGTGGTGATACCACAGCCTTAATGACAGGGAGCCGGAGCGCTGCGTCCGCCTCGCCCTGCCGCCTCACCTGCAGCACGCTCTCCAGTTTACACACTGCCACAGAAACGGCCCGGCGCGTCTCTGTGTGTGTATAGTTAGAACGCCGTCGGTAACACTATTACTAACTGGATGGTTTTACTGACAGTGGCCATTATGCGGATGTCTCAGCGTCCTTTTTACAGCACACTTGTCACGCTACTGACATGCCACTCTCACAGCTCGATGTGCTAAGGCCACAGAGGAGTTATAAAACAGAATTTTTTATTGTTAACATCACATATTTGTTGTAAAATGTTGGATTTGTGACCGAAGGTTGGAGTGTGGCGACAGAATTTCTGGACATTTCAGTTTGGGAGCACCTGTTCGTCGTAAGCTGACCCACATCCACATCAAGTGCGTCCGCTCTGTTTTATGAGGTTTTATTCTGGTCTCTGGGTTACACACATGTAATTACCCTTTTAGTTCTGGTTAGACACCTCTAAAGTACAGTCAGGGTAAACAGAAAACACTTATCAGGGCTCGGCTCTCATCAGTCGCTCAGCGTGGCGGTCGCTCTCTGGTCGCTGCGGAGGAATTTGGACCGCTGCTCTTTCAGGAGCGTTTCCACCGCAGCGCTCCGGCCGGGCTGAGCAGAGAAACCCTGAGTCAGATGGATCAGCAGCGGAGAGGCAGAGGAGGTTCAGGTTCAGAAGGATGCTGAAAGCTGCACCATAAACAATAAATCAGTTAATTAAATTAGGATGTCTTTTTTTTTTCCTTTTTTCTGCATTAATCTTCTCATCCCTTGTTGTTCCTGTGGGAAACACAACAAACTCCACTTGGTAGAAATAATTTATAAACTAAAATGTAAATATGTCTTTATTCACCTTCTTATCACCAATAATTTATTGAATTATTATTTTCATTGTCATTATTGTTACCTGATTGTTGTTTTTTAATTGCTGCACATACAGATGATGTCATTCAGATCACCATAATGTTTTACACACGCACACACACACACACACACACACACACACACACCAGCAGCTTTATGATGTGATTGATTGATTGATTAAGTGATTGGCTAACAGGGAGCTGTGAAACCAGGAGCCCAGCAGCTGCTGCTCCTCTCATCCCGGTTCTCTCTCCTCCAGGTGGAAGGAGTCGGTTTGTACTTCCGCCAGCAGCTCCTGCAGTCCCGCCATCGAGGCGCCTTTGAACTGGCCTACGTGGGCTTCGTACGGCTCACCGACATGCTCTGCAGGTGTGTGTGTGTGAGTGTGTTTATAGTCAGGCCAACAGAGGCTGAAAGGTAGCACTGCTGAGCAGCTGTGGGCAGTAATTAGTGAGTGGATGAGTTCTTAACCAGAACTTAAATCCTACTTCTTTCCCCTGATGACTCGACTCTGGCAGGCTCCATGTATCTATATATGTAAATATATATGCACAAGTCATTACAGCATTCCAAAAACGCCACACTTCTGGTGGTTTCACATTCATTCATAAGCCTGCTGATGCTGTCTAATGGTTGCCATGGAGACTTGCTGGGTATCCTAAGACTTTTCCTTTTACCTCTAATGTCCCCATCCTGATTGTGTGTAAATATTCACACACTTTATACTTTTCCAAATGTTGTTCTGACCAGGATAAGCAACTAGTTTCACTGGCAGATTACAACACGAGAAATTTTTTTTGAGTGAAATGATCATCAATATTAAGGAATTATTTACTTAAAACAAGCTATTCTGTTTATTGCTGAAAATTTACTACGTTTATTTCAAATGAGATATTTGCACTATAAACTAGGCTAAAAATAACGGATAAGATTTTGTGTTTTTGCAGTGTATTTATGAATATTTAAAACTTTGGATGGAGCAGCTTCTCAGGAAATAATCAATTTCAACTTAGGAATCAAGTATATTCTATCCTGTCCTATTCTGTTCTGTACTCTGATTAACTGAACCATGTCAGATTCGGATTTTATAAAACCGATTCTTTTTTTCCTTAATGTCGGGTTTTTCCCCAACTAAATAAAAGGACTGAAATTAAAGGTTGGGTTTGTCTGAAATGTCTGAGTGTGAGATTATGCTGCTGCAATAAAACCTGGGTTTATTACGGGGCGGTGTACCAACAAGCCTGGCGGACGCTGCAGGAGTAATTCCTGTATTAGCATGAGGGACGGTCAGCGTTCCTGTTTTCCTGTGAAAGCGCTGCGGCAGGTGACGGGCCGCTCCGCCGTTCGCTTTGAACCAGCCAGTGCTCAGCAAAGCGTCCTCCTGTTTTGTTGTTCTGCGGAAACCCTGCCTCCTTCTCTTTGTGTTTTATAAGGAGGGCGACATTCTGGTGGTTGTGAAGGATGCTGGGAGTGTGTTTGCTCTGCTCTGTGTGGATGGTATGCAGACTGTGCGCTGCGTTACAGGGTGTTGATTGCGGGGTGCCTGACCACAGGCCTTTGATGCTCTGCCTTTGCTGCGTTCCTCTGTGTTTTCACTCCCTCTCTGCTGCGTCTCTGTCCTTCCCTCTTCTTCTGTCGTTACTCACTTTCTCCTTTTTCCTTTTTTTTTTTGCACTTTCATCTGCAGCAGATTTCCAAATTGTTACACTCGAAACGCCTCCAAATAAAACGTTTTACAGAGATGCCACTTTTGTTCCTCGTGTTGATTTGGACAGTATGGCGGACAATACACCGTATTTTCTGAAGTATAAGCCACACTTTAATTTGATCAGAAAACGTCAGTAAAACCGCCCTGTTAGTGAATTGATCAGGACTAATTCTGGTTGTGCTTACTGACCTTGTGTGATTCATGGTCAAAATGTTTTAGTTACATTAAATTACAGCCACCGCAGCCAGGAGCGTCGTGCAGTAAATACGTACTGTTCTTTGCTTTTGTAACCCTTCTGTGTTCGTCTCAGGTCCAGTAGGTTGGCTTCACGACAGACACATTCAGGTTCGTTGTATTTATTTTAAGAAAAGAGGAAATCAAGTTGTTGGTTAACATCAGTCCAGCAGCTTCTACCTCTTTACAATAAATAACCCAAAACAATCTAAAAAGCAATGGCTCCCAATGAGCAGTTAACAGTAGTTAAATTAAACATAAATGTTCAACATTAATAATAATAACAGTTAAAAACACATAAGAAAAACGTAGCAAAATTACTCGTGAAACACTGTGTATGATTGAATTTGTCTAAAATATATGTTAAAATATAATCATTCTGAAGAAAATACAGAGCTGATTCTAATCAGTCTGTTACCGACGGCAACAGAAAAAAGGAGGCGGAGCTGTCGGTTACGGGTTGCTATGGTAACCACCAACTGCCAAGGAGCTTAAAACACCAATAAATGTCTGGAGAAACAACTTGACTAAACAAAATAAATTACAAAGAATAAAGAAACTTTGACAACCTTCTCATCCGTAATATTGTTGAAATAAAACCCTGTTACACTTTGACTGTTTGCTTCCCTTATTTCGCCTTACAGTCCGGTGCGTTTTATATATGAAAAACGATTACAATAAAAAATAAAAATGAAAATAGACGATTCATTGACAGTGCGCCTTGTAATTTAGTATGGAAAATATAGCAAGCATTTAATGTCGGTCGATAATCGATATCAATAATTATTAAATAGTTAAACAAATAACATTTTAATTTATTAAATAAAATAAAATAAAGGGAAATTAAATTGTGACATAATTTAGTTATGTTCTGTTTTGTGTTTGTCGTGAATGTTTCCACTTCAATGTTTATCTCCTTGTTTTTGTTTATTTGATTTTTGTTGCTGTTATTTGTTCTCTTATTTATTTTGTAGATCAATACCTCTTTTTGTTTGTATGTTTTTTATATGCACTATTTAGTGAAAAAAAGTTACAAATATTTTTAAGAAATATTAAATAAAAAACTTTAATAAATGTATAGGTAAAAATAAAGTACAAATATATGATAAATTGATAATAAAGGAGGTATCAATTTAATTGCATACCTCTTTGTTTACTTTTTGTTTTCTTATGTTGTTTTTTTGTTTGTTTTATTTTGTTTTTGTTGCTATTATTCTCTTATCCGGTTATTTATTTTGTAGATTAATACCTCTTTTTGTTACTCTATAATGTTTGTTTGATATATACCAATTAGTGAATAAAAATACAAAAAAAACAAAAAAACAAGTAAATGTATAGGTGAAGATAAATACAAATATATGATTAATTGATAATAAATAGCTAAAATAATAAAAACTATCTGAAATGCTGCCAGCTGCTGTTGTGACCCTTCCTTTCTTGTCCTCAGTTTTCCCTACATGTTGTTTATTTTTTTAGCAGTAAATGAATGAGTTCTGGATCATTTTCCTGATGTTTCTGCGTTTTAAGGAGCGGCAGTCAGAACTTGCAGCAGCTTCCAACCCGCTGGCTCTCCGAGGTTCTGGAAGAGGTCAAATCCAGCGACCCGACGTCGAAGCTGTGTGCCACGCGGCGAAGCGCCGGAATACCGTTCTATATCCAGGTAGACGTTACGAAACACTTAGAGAGAGTCCGAAGGGTGCTTGAGATCCTTGGAAGTCACGCTGATGATTTTAAAGAAGTTTCTGCTTCAGAAATAAACCCATCGAGAGCGCAGCGAGACTCGGAACCAGCAGGTGAACAGAACCTTCCTGTTGTTGTAACGGAGGTCGTTCTTCCTGGCAAAGGAGTTTAGTTTGCATTTTTTAGGTAACAATAACAAAAAGTACAGCCATCTTTTCATTTTAGCATTTCTAAATTTAATTAAATATTTTTGAATATGAAAAGCGTTTTCTTCTATTAGAAAGATTTCTGGAGGTTTCCTTGTTGGACTTATTAAACCAGTTAGATTAAAGTTGGCTAAAAAAACTAACTAAAAGACACAAATATTACAAAACATTTGAAAAATAAGTCAACTTTTTATTTTGATACATCTCTACCATGAGGAATTTGTTGACATTTTCATGAAGCTCCATTTTATTTCTATTTTTAGGTTTTACGATGAATAAAAACTTGAAACGTTTGTATTTTCTTTCATGAAATGTTGATATTTCAGTATATATGTTAAAGAGCTACTTAGTTTCCAATAAAGTGGAAATGATTCATCAGATTAATTGTCACGAATCGATTCATTGTCAACTAATTTTGTAATTGATTAATTGTTATATGGAGCATGCAGACTCAAAAAAAGGCCACAGTCAGAGCAATAATTAATATTTATAATATTGAATAAAAATGCTTAAATTTGCAGAATCTGATGATTTTTTTTTATCCAGTTATTTATCAGAATAATCAATAGACCATTCTGATAACTAAAATAATTGCTAGGGTGTACATAGTTTTTAATACATTCTCGTGTATTGATATTTATTTTTGTTTGAGGTATAAAGATATATTTAAAAAACAAATTTATGTTATCTGATAGGGACGCAACTAACTATTAATTTAATAACCGATTATTCGAACGATAAATCGATTAATTGGACAAAAAATGTCACATTCTACAGATTTTTCATTTAACCACTTAAGCTTTTTTGATGCAATGTTACAAATACATTAAAATATGCAAATAAACAAATAATTCTATTTCTTTCTTTAAATCAAATAAACATTTTATTGGCTAAAATGCAATAACATATCATTACTTTAGTGATTTTGAGCTGACTAATATAAAAAAATCAGTTTTGGGTGAAATATTTACAATTAAAGGTTTTTATCTTAAATGCAAAATGTATTTTTTAACAGTTTGGGCTTAATTACTGCTCTGAATGTGTTTTTGTTTAGCATTTGTTCTCTTTCTTTGGTAGCATACTCCAATTAATCGATTAATCGTGATTAATCGTTGATCATGTTGACTGGAATCATCTGTTACGTTTCTGTTCACTTCAGTTTAGGTTTAAATCATTGACTCCAGATTAAATCTTTGTTTTCTCACACAGCCTTTATACACCGACTGGGCTGAAACTCAGTGACCTCTGGTTGACCTCTATGACCTCTCCCAGTGTATTATCTCTGACTCGGAGTATAATTCAGCCACAGCTTGACCTTTAACCTTCCTCTGATCACTAATATTGAAACTACACACAACAGACTCCATGTTTTGTCAGAGTTTTTCTGTCTTGTGGTTTCTGGAGACTGTGACATCACTGTCTCTGATTCTGTTACGTTTTAGAGCCAGGATGACATAAAACTACAGGTTTAGTCTCTATTTTTTATTTTTAGAAGTTTTTGATATGATCTTTAGTTGTTTCTGATAAGATGACGGAGAGAGAAGTGAGGGGGAAATCGATGTCTTGGCAGAGCTTTGGCTGCATTCCTTTACGCTGAGAGGGAGAGTTGGATCCGGGAAGGGCGGCCGGCGTCATGCTGGTCCAGACGGGTTCACAGGAACCAGGTTTGGTTTCTACTGGAAATGAGAAAAACAAACTAATTTAGAAAAAATTATTTTACTGCAAAATATAGAAGCCTGATTTAATAAATAATTTATTAAGATTCATGGAAAACATACCAGCAAATATACCAGTTCTACCGGCAGATTCCTTCCTTCCTTCCTTCCTTCCTTCCTTCCTTCCTTCCTTCCTTCCTTCCTTCCTTCCTTCCTTTCTTTCCTGTTTATACACAGTTTTCTCTGATTTCTGTTATTTTTTATTTTTAAGCAGTTAAGAGAAAACTGAAACTGCTGCCTGCTACTCAACAGGTCGTTGCTAGGTAACCATAGTTGAGGGACTTAATAGTGCTTGTCACCAAGCAAGTTGTTGCTAGGTAACCAAATATTGTGAGCGTTAGTTGATTCCTCCGACCTAGCTTAGCTGGCTCTGAAAGATTGAGTGGCTAAAGTTTTCCCTCTGCCTACATCTCCCAGAATGCTGTGCAGTTCTGGATTGGTGTTCAGAGAATAGTCTATATATTGAATATTTTCAGATGTGTTATCTATTGATATTGATCATGTGATCCTTTGTAAATTCTCTTCAAACTGGAAAATGTCAGTCTCTGCTTCAGGTCAGTCACGTTTTAATTTTGCGGCTTTTGAACGACGCCTCGGTTTCCCCTGCAGGCGCTGCTCTCCTCGGAGCCGAAGGCATCCAGCTGCAGCCTGCTGAAGGCGACCATGAAGCAGCTCATCGCTCTGGCCTCGCCGGCGGCTGACAGGAGCACCGACGCCTCCACCGTGCCTCAGGTTAGACCCTCTCACTCACAGATTCAAACTTTTCTGATGTGGTTTCCAAACATGCGTTCCCCTCACCACAGGTGCATGCCCTGAACATCCTCAGAGCTCTGTACAGAGACACTCGTCTGGGGGAAAACATCATTCCCTTCGTCTCAGAGGGGATGCAAGCTGCTGTGCTGGGATTCACCTCTCCTGTGTGGGCGGTAAGGCTAAATCTGAAGCTTTTACTTCATAAAAAGCAACATTAAGGTCTAATTACTGACCAGACTGCTGCATCCCAAATGCACAAAGGAGCGTTAGAGGAGATCCTTCTCCCCAGCACCTCTCAGCAAATGTTTACATTTTTCACATTTATTTTTAAACAAACAGAGTAGAAAATAGTAAAGCTAACAATCTCAACAGTACGGATAGTTTTGGGAGATCTTAAAAATCATTCGGTTTCATTTATAGTTAAAATGATAAATGAAAATTCTCATCATGGCAAGAAATTTATCCTGATAAATGATACGATACATGCAGTTTTTTTATTGTTAATCTTATTTTTAACATTTTAGGAACCTGTTTTTGTGTGAACCTTTATACGAGATGCTTCTGTTACACATAAATTTCACTGAAGGCTGAACATCTTAGAAAAACAGAGTGTCTTCAGTCAGAGGCTTCTTCAAATACATTGTAATACAGACTGCTACAGGAGGTCATTCCATCACTATCTGCACTAACTCTGAATAATTTTTAATTTACATGAGTTACAGCAACATTTAATTTCCCTTTGCCATCAACAAACTACTTTTTAATTGAATTATTTCTATTTCTAAGTTCAGTGAAGTTCAAGAATGTTTCTTTTAAAAATCTTCCTAATTCCACCTGTTTGTTTTCCAGGTGAGGAACTCCTCCACGCTCCTCTTCAGCACTCTGATCACGAGGATCTTTGGCGTGAAGAGAGGGAAAGACGAACACTCAAAGAAGAACAGGTCTGCTGCTTCTCCCTCTCCCTTTTGTTACTCCTCTGAGTTTCAGGTTTGAAGCGTTCTGCAGACGTCCAATGGGAAAATAGCGAAAGAATCATTTCCAGAACTTTACATGCATGAATGTAAAAAAATACAGGAAATAAAAGCAGATTTGGGCGCACCAGGCTTTGCTGTTCAACTTAAAAAAAAAAAAAAAATTCAAAGTTAAGTTGCAGAATAAGCATCGCCACCGAGCGGCGCTGTTGTAACGCCGCCCTGGCTGAAGGTTGGCCTTTGCACAGATTCAGATTTCAGGTTTGCTGCAGGAATGACGAAGCAGAAAAAGTTTCTGTCAAACGACCTGAGGAGTATCTCTCTTTAAATAGTCACATAAATATCATCCAGTCTGCATGAGATGATAAATATGTCACTTTTATTCCACATTTTCCAGTAATTGGACTGTCTCCTAAACTGAGTGTGTTCAAAGTGGGGTCTGCGGGCCATTTGTGGCGCCTGGACTGATGTTTGTGCGGTCCCCCAAGCCGCAAATAATTTCGTTATTTATTCAAGGATAAATCAGGAAAAAAATAAGGCTTTTAAACCAAAATCTACTTAAAAAACTGTTGCATGCAACCCAAAGTGATCATCTTGTCCTAACTTCCTGGTTTCCTGTCGTTGTCATGGTAACTAGGACCACATATACTCATCGACTTGGACTCTAAAGCAAAGCCTGGTGCGCCCAAATCTGCTTTTATTTCCTGTATTAAAACTTGGCTGAGTGCAGCAAGTGCTTTCAGATGAAGAGTGACCTAGATCCTGTTTCTACTGCAGAGAACAGACAAAATGTTTTTCCAGGTTTCTTTAATCGAGCCCAAAATAATAAACAAACTGGGCCACAATTCATTTAACAAGAAAAACGTTCAAAAACTTTTGAAGTTTTGGATCTACAATCTCATTAGTACAAAAAAAAGTCTGATTATTTATTTATTTAAACCAGTTAATGCTTATTTTATTGTTGAGTTGGTAAAAAAATAAACATTTTTGGTGATTTTGGTTTTTAAAAAAAAAAATTTTTGACCAGTGAAAACTTTTGAGCTGACAATTTCGGCCAGAAAGTTTGGAAATCATAAAAGATGTGGGTGGATCTCAGTGCTTTTTCTTTTTTTCTTTTAAATATGAGCGTACACTAATGTTAAGACTTGCTGTCAAAAACACGAGGTGACACAGTTAGCCGTGGCTACGATGTTTACATCACGGTCTATAAGTATCGCACGCTCAAAATGAGTTTCCATGTGTAAACAGTCATCTTGTTTATGAGTTAAACCCTCGTTGTTTTGGTTGAATCCGTATTGGCTCCGCTTTGGAGAATTGTTTGAAAGATTGCGGATTGCTTTTTAAGGTTTTCGGAAGAGTCCAGCCTCACAGCACCTTGTCAAACAACAGCTCAAGTGTTTGGAGAAAGCGAATCGAAATAGACGGCAGGCTTCAAGTGTTTTTCCCACAAGCATTTAGATATTTTATAATTGTCATGAAGGGCAGGGTGGTTGAGAAGCTGAGCTGCAGCAACATGATTCAGCTGAGGCTGATTTTATCTTCTCCTTTTTGTTTTCCACTCTGAAAAAATCGACTAAAAATGATTGAAGTTGTGATAGAGCTTTATTTATTAAAAAACAAACATAAAAAACATTTGATTTAATTCAAAACTGACAAGCTGCTCATTAAAATCAGCAAAAAAAATATACTCATTGGTGTGTTTTAAACTTCTGTTAGTTCAAGTTTAAATCTGCATTAAAAACAACAAAACATGGAGATTTTATTGTAGTAAAACCTAAAATTGTTGCTAAAGTAATAAAAGCTCAAAGTTTCTTCTGCTCCCACTGTCTCTTTAAATATTACAATGAGTTGAAATCACAGCCGCTACTTACGACTTCATTTATTTTATTTTATTATACAAGTATTTTTGAATTAAATACAATTTTTCACAGTTTATAAGCACTGGCAGGTCTATGAACAATAGTGTCATTAAGTCCTGCTTAAAATAAGATCTAAAAAGTCTTGTGCAAATATTAAAGATTAGAAAAGCAGGTTGGCAATGTTAGTGGTGCTGTTATTTAAGACGGGGTGTAAAAAGCCCGTTTGCAGAACGATGGAGACAATCAATCTGTTGTAGGTTAGCATTGTTCCCAGACAGACGATCAGAGTAAGACTTTGGGCATTTCTCTCAGTAAACTCTGACTGTGGAAAACACGTTTGGGTCTTTTCCGTTTTATAGAACCTGTTAAAAACCAGCTGTAACTCCAGTTTTGGTCCAGCACTGGAGCCACTTTGATAAAACGACCTTATTAGCAAATAACTTGGGTTAACAATGTGGTGTGTGCTGTTTAATGTGACGGTAAAATGCTAAAGTTTGGTGCTACAGCTGGTATTATAGCTCTTCAGCCTCTTCATATAACATAACAGTATTACCCTTGTTATACCAAAATTAGCTAATCATCACTAAGCTTTAGTTTAATAAGAATGACTGATCTAGCATTTAACATTAGCTTGATTAGTATATTAGCTTTATCACATTTAGCATGCTAACTGGTGGTAAAACTGATTGTGTTAGCTTTCTGTTTAACATTTAGCTAAATGCTTTGTCACACCTAACATGCTGTTGCCAAAATAAAGGTTGAGAGAAGCTGGCTTGGTTGACATTTCCGATCTATCATGTAATTTTGATTTAGAAACATTAGCTTTGTACAATATTAAGGTGAGTTTTTATTAAAACTTCTCTATAGACTTTAACATATTGCTTTGTCACTGTTAGCATGCTAGCTATCGGTAAAATGATGCTTCATAGTTAGCTTGGGAGATATGTTATATTGTTTCTATTTAATAATGGACTGTATTAGCCTTGTACAATTGTAAAGCAGCTTTTATTAAGTTTCTATATAACCTTTGGCAGGTTCTTTGTCACAATTAGCATGCTAGCTGTTGGTAGAATGAAGCCTTGCAGAGACGTTAGCATGGTTTAAATGTTGATATATCTGCTACCTCGTTTCTATTTAGTAACAGAGATTGGGTTTTTTGCAACATCAGAAATGGGGTTTATTAATTTTTGTGTAGCTTTTAGCTCATTACTTTGGTTTGCCAAGAGGTAGTAAAATGCTGCCTCACAGGAGAGTTAGCTTGGCTGATATTCTTAAATCTATTTTCTTGTTGGTTTTTATTAATATAGACCATGCATTTATACTTGAAAAACATTTGTAGGTGTTGATTGATCAAATTAAATGTTAATTTCCAGTCCCAGGTTTGCAGTTTGACCGACAGTCAGTGAAGTTTTGTATGATTGGGACTGAAGTGATTTTGAAGTTGTTGGGTAATCCAGGCCAAACTTCCCCAGGGCTTTCTGCTCCAGAGTCTCTGTCTGGTTCCTTATGTAGTATTTTTACTGGCTCAAGGCCTCTGAATGCTGTTACCCCAGCTGAGTTTGCTCCTGTTTATCTTCTACATGTGGTTTTAGTCTTCTGTCCAACACCTTGTTCAGCTTTCTGATATGTGATGCTTCTCTTATTATAGCATGAGGTTATTTTTATGTGCTTGTGAGAGAATTTGTTTCGTAATAAATGAAAAATACTATTATGGAAATTATCTCTTGAAGTCGTATTGATTTGGTTTATTTCTTTTTTAGTAGTGTAATTGTCAAATTTACCTTCTTCATATCAGAGAATTGCAGTTGTTTTGCAACTTATTCTGATAATTGCATCTTTGGAAGTTTGTCTTTTCCGCAGTCTGTTGTGCATCTGGTCCCTGTTATTACCGTGACTTTGTGGTTGTGATCTCTGGCAGCAGAAAACGTATTGTGACAGCTTGTCCACTCTAATATTTGGCTCTGTGTGTGTGCAGCGTTCTCCTGGTTCACTGGAGCTGGAGAATAAACACATTTCCTGCTCACACAAACAGAATTATGTGTATTTGAGTGTTTGGAAAGCCTGGATTTGATGTTGTCTGTGGGAATGCCAGATGTGTATTTTCTGAAATAACTTGTATCCAGTTATATTGTTTGCTTGGGGATCGTCGTCCAACTAAAGCACAGACCGATGGCTCGCTACGCTCCGTGACCACGGATGGATGTCGATGAGATATCGTGGTGGAGATAAATGCAACTGTAAACAAAGCTGACAGAGCGAAGATTGCTCACTGCATTCCAGCCAAGGCCCCCGCCGACTTTATCTCAACGCTGCCTCAACTCCTCACTTTGCACTTCACATGTACATATAAAAATGTCCAGATTAATGCCACAGAGGGGCTTTTGAGCGTTGCCGTAAATGTTTCTTTGCCAAGCTCCTCTGGAAGGTTACTCCCTTTTCAGCAGAGGATAAAGTATTGCTAAAGGTCTTGGTGTCATGCACATGTGTACGGATTTCATGGATTGCAGATGCATTTGCAGGAATTTGACAGACTCCCCATCGAGAAAAATACACATCTAAAATGCTTTTAATACATCCTGACCACCCAGAGAATGATTAAAGATCACAGTCACAAACTAATCCTGAAACAAATGCTGAAACTACAAACTAAATGTTAATATTAAACCTTTAAGGGTGACCTGTTACGCTTCCTTGAACAGACTAGGATAGATTCATGGGCTAGCCAAAACATTACATTTCATTTATGGCACAAAATCAATATTAGATAATGAGATTTTAATCTGACCAGTTCCCGCCTCAACTTTTTCACTCACACGCGAAAATGGCTGCAATAATACAACCGTACATTTTTGAAAACCAGAAGTGGAGCCTCCTGCACAACCAACAAGAATGCAGCAAGTGATAAGTCAACAGGAAAACTTATTTTTTCCAGCGCAGGAAGTGGTAAAACCAGTTAACCAAATGTGCTAGAGTTCCGCTTGGGTTGCTAGGTGACAGGCGGAATTCTGCTTGGGTTGCTAGGTGACGGGCAGAATTGCACTTGGGTTGCTAGGTGACGGGCGGAATTCCGCTTGGGTTGCTAGGTGACGGGCGGAATTCCGCTTGGGTTGCTAGGTGATGGGTGGAATTTCGCTGGGGTTGCTAGGTAACGGGCTGGTCTTCCCTGGGGTTGCTAGATGAATAGCAGTTCCTGCTGATTTGTGAAGTTACTTTTGGAAGGTTTTTGAAATGACTGCTTGTCCAGACACAAAAGAACATCAACTTGTTGCCAAAATTCAGCTGAATATTCTTCTTAGAAGCAGCAGAGATCCAAGAAAACTTGTTAGTTGTTCATTTTATACCCCTTTCAGCAGTGAAATGATTATACAACAAAAACTGTTTTTTTTCCTATTCAGTGCATGTATTTTAATTTATTATGATTTTTTTGCTTGTTCAGAGGTTTTCAAAATACACAAATGTTGTTACTGCTGGAAAAAAAACACCTCATCTTTTCCCAAAAACATTTTATGAAAGTTGGTGTGTTTCCATTAGTTGAATTTATCTTTATCTTTTCCATTATGGTTTATGGAAATGCAGCGAACGGTGCCAAAAAGCCCAAACTTTGTCCTACTGATGGCTTTGATCTCAACGTTTCCACAACAAACTTCAAATATCTGCAGCTGTGTGTTGTATGAGAACAGTTCAAATAAATAATTTAAGTTATATAACAACCTTTTCTATGATGAGTGGATGTAAACGCCTCACTAACCTCCAGTTTGACCCTTTTCTCTCTCCGTCTAATGTCCTCTGATGCTGCCTGTGACCTTTGACCTCCAGGAGCGCAGACTTGTCAGGCAAACAGACTGTCATTAGGAGAGCATCCACACTCAAACGAATGTTTCTCATGCAGGTTCTGCATTCAGATGCCATACATTGATCACCATTTGTCTCTGAAGTGTTGCCTCCATGTTGGAGGAGGCCGTTGGACAGATTTCGTTCTGCTGAATGTGCTTTAGCTGGTTTTCCCTGTCGTTCTGAGAGAGCAGCAGTGTCTCCTCAGTCTTGTGATCAAGAGTTGGGCAGAGCAAACCTCTTCCCTCCTGATGGGACTTGATTTAGACAGACAGAGTCAAATAAAAACTTTATTGGCCCTCAGGCTGAATGGTGGTTGAAGACCGCCAGAGTTAAATATAAAGTTTGTAATTTTATTGACAGTCACGTATGTGTTTGAGCGAATGCATAGGCCCAAACATGTGACTGTTGGTTCTGCTCACACAAGAACGGGAGGGTTTATTTCTGGCTTTGAGAGGATAAACAAAGATGAAGGCTGGATTTGTTTAGCTTGACAGGATTTGGAGCAAAAACCTATCGGCTCGTCATAACATCAGACCATAGAATATGTTCTGAAACCTTTATCGCTGCCTTTTATTTTTATGTTGTTTTTTTGGCTGTCCTGTGTAGGCTGTTTTACTATTTTGGTCTAATGTTCCAGTTATCACTTTTACACGCTATGTGGAAACAAAAGGCAGGTTTCCTCCACAGGAGCATTTTCCAGAAACTCATTAAAAGCAAAATGGCAGTGTAGGCATAGTGTCTTTGTGTGGGTAATATTTTTTTAGCGGTACTGTTAGGGTCAGTGTGGTTTGTTATGCTGTTTTGTCTGTTTTCATTATAAAAGCGATCCATTCAACCAACCTGTACCTTGCTCTTCTTTCTTCCTTGTAGGTTTATAGGACAACGGTAAAGTTAGGGTGGAGCTACTGCGTCATGGTAGTAGAAACCAGACCCTGGTTCCACACTTTGCTTCATAAAACGGTTCTGGTGACTCAGCTGTATGAGAAACGATTGCTTCCTGGAAGTTTTCAATTTTGCCCAATTGCTAACGTCTGCCGCTAACATATGTAACGCGAAAGTTCAACACTGCAAAACTTACCGTAAATTTCCTGTGCTGTAATCATCCGTCCTCCTCTGCGAAGAAAGAAGTGCTAATCCGAACAAGACGTCTGTTAATGTTAAGTATTTGGAAGAACGGCCAACACAGAGTGAACGGCTTTGTTCACTTCCTCCGCTGCCATTGCTAAAACTACAGTCAGAATACAATCCAAAAATAGGGCAGAAAATTTACAGAATTGTTCACAGATTCTCCTTCTGTTCACTTGAATTGTCATGTCGGAGACAAATCAAGTCAATGGGAGAAAGGCCAAAATGGCTGCGAAGTGAGATGAGAATCATGTGAAGAATCAATGCCAAGCCGTGTTTCTATCAACGTACTTTTACGTACTTTTTAGATTGGAAAATATCGATGGAAACTTGGGCTGGACGATATGGCTGAAAACCTATCACAATATAAGCATTTCATATCAGTCAGATTCAATAATTATTGATTAGTTTTTTGTTTCAAATGTCTTAAATACTGCCAAACTGGTGGCCTTACTGTTCCTGTTTTATCCACGGTTTTCGCTCCACAACGTTTTATACTTTTAAGCGTTATGAGGCGAAACCATAAACTGCTGCTGCGCAAGTTACTCAACAGGTTGTTGCTAGGCAACCAAAGAGTGAGTGAGTTAGTTGACAGCACAAAGTTAAGTTAAATTATTAAATATTCCATCAGATGTATTATCTTTTGACATTGATCACGTGCCTATCACAATATATGTTATTGATTTATTGTCCAGCTCTAATGGAAACTTCAAAATTCGAAGTTTTTACGCTTGAGGTGGTTTCTGGCTTGTCCGAAGAAGAATTAAGGCGCTAAACAGGAGATGGAAACACATTTGCCAAACAAGTTTTGCTGTAGCCAACATTTACCTCACATTAATTGATTCACTGATGGTTGGAATTACACTTAATTAGCTTTCCCCCTCTTTTTGCAACATTTTAACAGTTTGCTCAAAGTTGTGTGAAAGCACAGCTACAGTTAATTGATTGGGAGACAGAAAGACATCACTGTTTGCGACAAACACAAGACAATGTTATCACACTAGTTTGGCAGAAGAATCACAAACTGGTTTCTTGAACATGATGATGAGGTAAATTAACTCATTTATTCTTAAGTCCAGATCCTCATCCAAGAGAGCAACATTGGACGTAGCAGCACTAGAAATGTGGGTCATGAATGATTGCGTGACGTTGTTAAGTCCTTCAGGGATGTTTCAGACACCTTGTTGAATCTGTGGTGTAAAGCATTAATGAGGCTCTGAGGGTAAATGGTAAACAATGTGCACATTATGCTGTAAATAGTTGGTGAGTGTGTGATTTTAAAGCCGGAGAAAACAGCCTCGAGTGTCTTATCTGCTAGTAAAAACACAACAGTCTGAATGCGGCGTGCTTGTTGTGTTTGGACTGCAGACTTTAACTAAATGATACTGAGAGACGTTTGTGTCTGTTGGAGAGACGGTCGACATGTGATTGAATGAAACGATGATAGTAGTACACAATGAAATAATGGTACTAAATTGTCAGGTTATTATATCCTTATTATTAGGGATTGCTGACTCTTTGCTGCTCTTCCTTGATCACAATGTCCACAACATTGTGTCTCATTCTTGCAAAAACTGTCATGAACATGTTTTCTATCACCATCCGAACCTGTTCAAGGAAGTGTAATAGGTCACCTTTAAGTCATGTTTGATATATGTAGCATTTTTATAACAACTGAAGTCAATATAGATACTTTAATTTACTGTAAAATGACTCTGTGTGGATGTAAAATGAATAATACTGTCCCTTTAAAATGTATGTTTTACACATTGTTGGTATAACAATATAATCTCAGTATAACGTGGGATTATTACCAACTATGAGGTCATGGATTATTTCCTGCCGTTATTATTAATCATCGTACCGTTCTCCTCCTCTCCCTCTGCCCACAGGATGACGGGTCGGGAGTTTTTCACTCGTTTTCCGGCTCTCTATCCGTTCCTCCTGAGCCAGCTGGAGGAAGCTGCATCCACTGTGGAAAGGTGAGGCGACTCAGGCTGAAACCTTAAAGGTGTTCTTGTTCTTATTTTCTCCAGAGGAAAAAACAAACTAAACTATTTATTTTCTGCAGATTAAAGTCCAACGCTCTGTATTTTGTTCTCACAGCCTTTTTCTTATCACTTGCTCACTTGACTGATTATTTGCTCAGAGCACTGGGCTTTACGGCCGAGTAAAGTAAACGTCTTTCTTGGTTTTCGTTCTGTTTTTTTGCAGTGGAGGGTTGAGTCCTCTGAGGTTCATTGGCCTTATCGCCGTCAGCTCCCCCTCTTTGTAAAAGCCTTGTAGTCGGCCAGAAGCTCCCCAACCCGTCTTATCTTAATATGGATCCAATTAATTGAAAGCTCTTTCAGACCAGCTCTTTTACACTCCCTTCGACCCTTGTTAAAACATTTGCAAATTTCCCACGGAACCAGACCTCGGCCGTCTGACTTCTCGTTGTTTTCGCCGCGCCGCCCAAACAGACCCGGCCGCGTCATGCTATAGGAACACACAGCGGGACAGGAGGCAGCAGAGCAGCTGTTTGTGGTTTCCAACTGAACTTTCACAATCAGACGGCTCCAAAATAGACGACAGACGCGTCTTTTTTTGTGCACATGCACACATTTAGTGTTTTGTAAATTGGGCCAAACAAAAATCGAGACCCAGAGATAATATAGGACGTAATTATGAACTAAACGGCAGGAAAACAACAAAAAGTATGCCAGAAATAAACTGAGGGTAAACCTTCTCTCTGCTGTATTCAAGGAAGTTTGTTGAAAATTGCAACATTTGTTACATTTTCAGCTTTTGCGTTTCACTCACACTGCATGTGAAATATTTCCAGGATAAAGTCGTAATATTATGAATTTAGTCCTGTAATATTATAACTTTATTGTAGTATTTGATTCTATTCCCGTTTCTTTATTTTTTATATTTTAATGCTCAAAACAGTTTTTTTTTTTATGTAGCTTAGGCTCCATATTTATTTGCTGGCTTCATTATCTCAGTGCAGCGATCATTTCTGTCTGGCTGCACCAGGTTTTATCTCAGAAACTATTCCAGGTCAGTCTCTGAGTTTTTAAAGTGATTAGTTGCAGCGCTCCGTCTTATCTTCAGCTCCCTTCCCTTCCTAGGAAAACAGCGTCTGTATCATATTCCAGCGGTTTTTGAAACGGAGCTGATGATTTATTTGTCTGAGGCAAAATAAATGGAAAGCTTAAGCTTCGGTTTACTTTAGATATTCTTTTGTTTACGTCTCTGTGACCGTGTCCTTTCCGTCTAAGAGGAGATTTCAGAATCTTAAGGTCACAGTGTTGTGTTTCCTCTCTCTAAAAGCCTGATTTAAAAAAAAGACGTCCTGAAATTGTTGGAGATGTTAAAAGGTACGGAGGATGGAGGATGTTTTTCCTTTTGCGTTGTCTCACAGTGATGTACTGGTCAGTTCATTCGGCGTAATTTAATACTTTTTCTGCTGTAATATAAGGTTTTTGTAAAGTACTTGAGTGAAGTTGCCTTCTTCAAATCAGACAAAAATAGAGTCAGATGTTTGTGCAGTAAACCTTTTGTTTGTGCCGCTGTCATTTTAAAGATATTAAGAAATGTTTCCAGAGGTCATTTTAAGGTCAACCAGCCCCCTGCTTTCTTCAAATCAAGCAAAATTGGTGTCAATCAACTCGACTATGTTTGTGCAGTAAATTTTTTTGTGCTGCTTTGAAGATATTATTGAAAGTGCAAAGGCCATTTTGATTTAGTAAACGTAAAAGTGGGGGGGTTTGTTGACCTTTTGACCTTTAACTTTCATTACTATTTCATTACTTATCTGTTAATCTGTGAAGTTGTTTGCAAAAAATTCACAAAAACAATCACAAAATCCTGAAGGGACTAATCAGTGATTATTTAATTTTTAGAAACATTTATTGAATGCTGAAGCAAACATCTATTTTTTGGTATTTTAACAGTTTAATGGGTTTTATCAATGCATTCTGGCCCTTTAACAACATTCAAATTTTTGATTTGGCCCAAAAAATAAATATGAGTTTGACACTCCTATTCTAAAGGGTTAATAAATTGATTTTCAATCAGTTTTTTGCACCAAAAAATTAAGAATGCATAGACACGTTTTCTCTAAACCTCTAAATATTTTAAATTTTAAATCGACATTTGTGACCAAGGAGTATTTGCTAATTTATTGCGAGGGAACGCAAACCAACATTTTCTTCCCCTCCATAAAAAGTAGTTCCAGCAGGACATTTTCTTTTCCTGCTGGATGTGTGACCTCACATCCTGTCCCTCTGATTTTGGCATTTTCTTTTCCTGCTGGATGTGTGACCTCACATCCTGTCCCTCTGATTTTGGCATTTTCTTTTCCTGCTGGATGTGTGACCTCACATCCTGTCCCTCTGATTTTGACAGTTTAAATGTTTGACTGCCTCCTAATTGGTTGCGATTTCGTTTCCCATGAAGTCGACGTGAACGCGCTCTGTGTGCGTTTGCTGAGCGAAACAACGCGAAGCCCACTGTGCCGTCGTGGGGAGGCGTCTGTGAAGGACGCTGCGTTCACACACGTTTGGTAACATAAGCAAAACGTTCATGTTTACAGACCTTCACAAAGCGCAGCTGCCAGCCCTCCTTGCTCTATAAACAAAGACATTTTCTTCTTTCTTTCTGATCTCCATTTTTAACATAACAGGAAGAGAAGAAGTGAAACTCTTGTGGAGTAAAAATTTAATTTCCTCTTGTGTTTCTGCACTGCCAGTGAGTCAGAGTGAAAACTTTGAACGGTTTGGCAGAGACGAAAACGTTCCACTCTGACTCAGCTGGAAGGGATGAGATTTGAAAAGATGGAGATGAAAAGCTCAGGATGAAGAGTCGACCGTGTCGGAATGTGTAATAAAAGAAAGTTTATGGCTCACAGTTTCTGTATGAGGTTATGATGAAGGTGTTTAAGGTGGCATTGATGCTGCTAAATAGAAATATAAAGCAATGAGTTTTCTAAAAATAATGAATAAAATTAAATTTACATAATAGGATGACATTTAAGTGTCAGTAATCAGCATCTATCATAGATACTTTATCTTCTAATATCTTGTATTTATAGCTCAATATTTAATCTTCAAACTAAATAATTGGCTGTTCCAATAAATATTAATTTATTGAAGTTATATAATATTTTCTATGGCTGAAATGATTAATGGGATCAATCTTGATGATTGGAATCATGGTCAACTAATTTTGCCGATTGGAGTTTGCATTTTAGGCAATAAAATGTTTGTTTTCTTATTTAAAAAATTAATCGAATTATGTGCTTCTTTGTACCTTTATATACTTTTAATATTGCATAAAATAAACTTACGTGGTTAAATAAATACTACACAGACTGTGCCAATTTTTAATTAACTAATTGATTAATCATCAGAATAATCAACAGAATAGATTATCACTAAAATAACCATTTGTTGCAACTCCAATATTTAAATAGGTATATTTTTTATATAAATGTGAAAATATGACTTAAAGATAAAGCCACATTTTTCCTTTGATGGCAGACTAAATAAACTGCTGTTTTACAATCAACAACCCATAACTGAAAATAATTTTATATACAAATATCAGTAGAGCATAAAATAAAATGGTTCCAATTTTCCCCCAAGATTATTTTGTTTATTTTATAACCTGAAAACCAAAACAAAATAATGGTTCTTCAAAAACGACAAACTTCTTACAGCAGATATTTACCTGAAATTATAAGTTGAGTTTTTCAAAAGGTGCTGGAGGATTTAAATGAGTTTTATGCAGCTCGACCTGGGACACATCACAGTGTCATCTGCAAACGTCATAATCTATGACAATGCTAATGCTATTAGCTGTTCTGTGTAACTATGAAGTCGTAGATGAGTTGTTACAGTTTGTTTACAGCCAACAGATTCTAATTGTTCTCATGACAAGCTAAACAATGCTAACTGCGTGAGCGTCATTTGGCTAAATGAAGCTAACTAAATTAGCATCATTTAGCTAAATGATGCTAACTATATTCTGCCTAACTTGTCTTCTTGATAGATACCAAGATGTATAAAACATTCTTGCTTTCACAGCTGCCAGCTAACAGCTAAGCGTCTCTGCTAACATTTGGTTATTTGTGTGTTTGTGTTTAGTGACAGCGGTCATGTGACGCTCCACCCCAGCCTGTTCTTGCTGCTGCTGGTGCTCAGCCGCCTCTACCCCTCCCCCATGGATGGGTCGTCCTCTCCTCTGGGACTCGCTCCTTTCAGGCCCTTAATCATGAGGTAGGAGTGATCTGTGCTCCATTTGTATCGAAAGCTAAACCCCCATGTGGGAATTTGTCGCTAAGTTATTAAGCTAACGACTATTAGCAATACATTAGTAATGATGTATCTCTGTATTTTTTCATATGATTAAAAATAATCAAAGCGCAAATAAACAGTTATTTATAACTGAGCATGTCTGTCTTTAGCACGTAAACGGTGGCCATTTTGGATTTCTTTTAGTTTGTGTTTGGTGAGTGTTATTAATTCTTCAAGTACTTCATGTCTATGCTTTTATTTTGAAGTGGTTCCTTTTATTGAAAGGAGGTTTGTTCCGTTTATTTCTTCTTCTTGACATTCAGTTGATCTGTTTGCTGTTTACTGTTGAGACTGGTGCTGCAGTCATTGACAATAAAATGCTTCAATTTATTTGCACTGTCCTCTCAGTGATTCTTCAGTAAATCATTTAAACACCCTGATGACCAGCGTGCTTCTGACCGAAGCCCTATAGTGATCAGTTAAGAAAATCCAGCAACAGAGGTCAAAATCCTCAACAGTGAGAAACGTCTCACTTTAAACCCAAAGTTTCTGACACTCAAAGCCAAACCTGAATTTTCATTCGTACTAAATCATTAAACCACTTCTGTCGTGTTTAAATTCAATCTTATGGAGAAATACTGAAAAGTAGAACCGTTTAGCATTTACTTTGACTGCAGCGAGTTGTTTGGGTCAGATCTCTTATCAGGCATGGAATCAAGATGGCCTCCATTTAAGATTCACCAATTGAATATCAATATCTGTATCGGTTCCAATACTGAAAAAATTCAATATTTGGGTATCAGTGATCATGTGGCTGATCCATAAGGACAGATCTACTTAGTCTAATTATATGCTTTGTGCTTTTTTTATTTTACATAATAATTAGACTTCCTAATTGCACCTTCTGAACCGTTTGACAGAAAATTTGTTGCAGTTTATTATTTCCATGTTTGATCAATGTAGTCAGTTTGTTTTTATATTATTTATTTACATTGATTGTTATAACCCAAATTAAAGTTGTCTTGACATGTTGGACCAAGTTTGTGGCGCTAACGGTGGATTTAAATGTTCTGTACTGGGGCAGATTTATCAACTAAATTAGTAATTCAGTACATTTATGTCTGTGTTTCAAAAAAAAAGAAACATTTTAATTAAATTCAGAATTGTTTATCTGTATTATATTGGTATTGGTTAATACTGAACCTCAGATATCGCCATTGGAAGAGAAAAAAGGGGATTGGTGCGTCATGCTGGGAGCTTCTGTTCTAATTACATTATCATAAATATTAGTATTTTGACCTCTTACATATGGCGGCATGTTGTTTCTGTAAAACTTAGACGTGAGCAGCAGCTTCTCCTTTCTCTGTTGGTTGTTGCTTATTTCAGCTGCTTGTTCTGTTTATATGAAGATAATTAAGCAATAACCACAGAAAGTATCAGCAGCACAACTGTTTTTCTAAACTGCAGCTCCACGTGTGCAACAATTCACCATCACCAAAAAACCCTGCAGTCTCAACATTACTGACTTTCCCTCTTTATATTGATGTTGATGCAGGTGCCTCCATAACTGTTCTATAAACGTGTCCAGTATTTTTGTTATTTTTACAGATGCATCTTGCAGATCTCTGTCGTTTTGTGCGTTTTAATGTTTATTATGGGTGGAAACGAGATAAGCTTTCTGTTTTGATTCTGTTTTTGTCTGCTGAGACTCCCCAGCTGTCTAATCTGGCTGGTTTTCATGTGATGTCTTGTACTTCTGTGGTTGTTTGACCTGTTTAGTTCTGTTTTGTTTCTTTTGTTGTGAACCAACCAGACAAATGGGAAACTATGGTTACAGCCTTCATTTTTTCCCCTTCGGATTGGAGATGAGGGAAAACACTTATGGAAAGTATTTGGGAGGAGTCTAATTGATTTTCACTGGAAAACCCAGTTGAAAGGTTGGCATCTTGTGTTCCCTCCAACGTAATCTGCAGTTCCAGTAAGAAACGGCTGGTTGTCCTTTGGAAATAGACGACATGTGAAGGAAGAGTGGAAAAATGGTCTTCTTCATGTTTTGGCTTCCAGTTCAACACGGCGTTATTTGCTTTTACAAAGTGAAACGCATTTATCTTATATTGAAATTAGCCTAATATTTACCTCTTGTTGATTTGCGCGCTGCCCAGGCTGGTGATTAAAGTGAATTTTTACCCTACTTTAAGGTGAAATACAGCGCATCCGGAAAGTATTCACTTTTTCAACATTGCGTCATGTTACAGCTTTATTCCAAATTGAATTAAATTAATCTTTTTCCTCAAAATAGGACACACAAATGCCTCATTGTGATGGCAACGTGGAAAAAAAGTAGGGCTGAAACGATTAATCGCGATTAATCAATTGAAACTAATTTCAACTGGAATATACAGAATGAATAACAGGCCATTCGAGGAAAATAAACTAACATATTCAGAGCAGCAATTAAGGCAAGATATATATACGTTTTGCATTTAAGATAAAAACAGCTTTGCATATAATTATGTTCTAGCCAAAACTCCTCTGTTGGTATAGTTTTAGCTTCACCCAGTTCAAGCTCTGAGAATGTTTATTGTCTTATTTTAACAAAAGGAATTTAATTATTTGTTCATTTGCTAATTTTAATGCATTTTTAAAAGTGGTTGAATGGAAAATGTGTAGGATGTGCCATTTTTTGATGCGATTAATCTTCAGAATACTCAATTACTAAAATAATCTTTAGTTTCAGTTTAGAAAAAAAAATTAAGTGTTTTGCAGCTTATTAAAATAACGACAAAAAAGCAAACAAACACTTTTCCTATTACTAAGCAAAGGCTTAATGTATTTAATGAGTTTTTGTGGTCAAATTTCTGCTATAATTAAGTTTTGCACTGATATTCAGTGGATGGTATCATGGATCATCGAATTATGTAGGAGGATGAAGTAAATATTTCTAATATTACTTCATTAATCTAGTCATGGATAGACACCATATCCATGTTACTTTTCTTACCCAACTTAGACTTACACTTATTTTAATATTTATTTAACATTAACATCAGATTTTGGATGTTTTGTTCAACCAAAAAGTGAAACTTAAAAATAAAAACACCAAAATATGAACCAAAAATCCTAAAAATACACATTATAAAACAGTTAATATGAATTGATTGAGAGAATCGTGTACTTAAATTAGGGCTGGACGAAATAACTGAAAAAAATACCACAATATAAGCATTTTAAATAAGTCTATCAATAATTATTTATTAGTTTTTAGTTTTAAATATCAGAAATTCTGTCAAACTGCCACAGTTATTCACTTCAACCTGTTATTTCTTAATTTTAAGTGGTTGAACTTTAAACTGCGGCAGTTACTCTACAGGTTGTTGCTAGGCAACCACAGAATGAGTGAGTTGCTAGGTAACCGAAGAGTGAGTGAGTTGATTCTACCGACTTTGCCTTTGCTCTGCCTACATTCCCCAGAAAGCTGTGCGGTTCTGGAAGATTCTATGAAACGTATTATCTATTGATTCATATGTTATTGATTGATTGTCCAGCCCTTAAACTTAAATCCCAGTAAAATATGAGTCAGAGTTTACGGAGAAACGTTTACTGGCGAGATGTTTTATGTGTCACCCTGGTGAGGGGAGATCGGTCATGGAGCTTCAAATGGTTTTACATTATTTTTCCATTTCCCAATAATCAGAAAGAGCTGCTACCTTCTCACCAAACCTCTCGCTGGTGGCCTGGCAGTCCATTAAAAATGTCCCCTAACACGGTGGAGGAGTAAGACTCTGATTCACATCTACCTGAACGAATATCCAGCCTTTCTCTTCTGGATTGTTTCCTCTTTCTCTCACTTGCATTGGAGGCAATAATCTACCATCGCCTTTCAGCAAATTAGTCTTTGAGTCATTTCTTTTTAAAGCCTCATGTTCTGTGGAGACCTAAATTGGTCTCTGGCCCGTTCTGTGGCTGTCGGGCCAGGAATGCGGCTCATCTGGCCAAAACGAAGCCCACGTGTTTGAAAAGTCAAACATGGCTCAGCTTCAACTTTTCTGGCTCGAGTCTTTTTTCCCCTCCAACCTGTGATCATGAGAGAGCGTGTCTGATCCGGTCGGTTCCTTTATCAGCCAGTTCTGCAGCTGCACAAAATCGTCTAGGTGTTTTCCAGGTTTGGAAAGTGCTTGGATTTTCTGTACAAATTACTGGAAAGTTCTTGATATTTAAATGTTATTTACAGCTGAAAGCCAGATATTTTCAGACACAGATACATTTTTGTCTCATTTTCTAAAACAAGAAACTAAACTTTTCCTGTTTTAGGTTAGTTAGAATTACTAAAATTAGTTTTATTTACTGAAAGAAAACTTGGAAATTAAAATTTTTAGAAAGGTCATTTAGCTTAACATGTAATGAATATTAATTATTCCTAATAGCTTATTGATCGTCTTATATTTTATACATTAAACAATGTTAATTGTTTTTTTTTTTTGCTAAATTTTCTTTATTCTCATATTGTTGCGACTTTATTCTCTTAATTTTACAATTTTATTCTTGTAATATACTGACTTTATACTCGGAAATTTATGATTTCCTTCTAATTTAATTACTTTGTTCTTGTAATTTAATTTTTTATTCATGTGGCTCTAGTACTCTCTGAGTAGAATGTAGAAACCTTAACAACAGTAATAAATTACATAATTTAACAGTGAATTAAAACAGTTTTCTTTAGTTCAGTTGTATTGCTTTTATCTCCAAAGTTTGGTGCTGGAAAAGTTTGGAAACTTTCCTTGAAAAGTACTTGAATTTTACGGTGGGAAACATTTATGTGCAGAGGTCAGATCTTTATTTTTTTGCCTCCTGTTTCGTTCTCCAGCTCTGATATTTACTATTTTTCTGGTGTCTTTGATTTTCACGACGATCTGGAGGATTACGAGCAGCGGACATGTTTATTGCAGCTGCTGTTGCCATGGTGATTTACCATCTCTGACTCGCTCACATGGCTCGCTCGCCGCTTCGTTAAAGGCTGCGCGTTAACGAGCGGACCGCCGTCGGAGCTGATGACGTACCGGTGTTTGTCTTTTCATTGGGCGGAAAGTGAATGAAATCTGCTCTCCCCATCAGCAGGGAAAAGCTCCTGGGTTTCATGTCTGACTACGACGTGTGGGATTGTGTTCCCATCAGGACCATTGAGAAGCTTTTCACTGATGTGAACCGATTTTATTTCAGCGTAGCCAACATCTGCGGCGCTGCATGTTTTAAGATTTATCGCTGCCTGTTTTATTTGGCTGAATTTGATTTTTTTAATGCCATTTATATAACCCTAGAGTCAAATTTTAGCCAATTTTTTTTTAATTTAGAAAGTCAGCCCACTTCTACATTAGAAGCGACAATACAGCGCCTTGTAAAAGTTTTCAAACCCCTTAATTTTTCTAATTTTTTCCAATGAAACCACAAATTTCAGCCTTTTAAAGTGATGAGGCAACACAAAGTGATCCATAGCTGTGAAATGGATGGAAAATGATCCAGTTTTCAACATTTTTCCAACTTAAACTCTGAAAAGCATCCATTTTAATTCAGCCCCCATTACTCTGACTCTCCTGAATAAACTACAGTGCAATAAATCACCTTCAGAAGAACCCACAAGTAGATCCCATCTGTCTTACAGCTGGGGATGTAAACAGGAGACTCAACAATCCATAGGTTAGAATGGCCTAGTCAAAGTCCCAATCTAAACCTAACTGGGAATTTTGTAAAAACTAAATCGGGTCATCACAGATGTTACATTTGCAGATAAGACAGGAACTCACCAGATGTAGGAAAGCTGATAGTTATGCTCTACTTAAAGTTAGTAAAACTCCATGAGCATGAATGTTTTTATTTTATTCTATTTAATATTTAAAGGGGCAGTTTTAAAATAAACTTTTTTGAGCTCAACATTGTGTTACAATGTTATTCCCTCATCAGAAACATATCTGGAGTGTTGATTCTTCTATGCATGTTTGAGAAGTCCTTTAATCGCCATGGCAACCATTCAGCTGTTCAAAACACCTGGGTGGACATAGTCCCGCCTTTAAGGCGCAGCTCCTCCTTGGATCAGCAGTTTCCAAGTTTCAGAGTTTCCACCTTCCTTGTGACTTGCAGCTCCTTCAGACTAGCCAGCAGCAATTAGCAAACACTTACTGCAACGCTGGTAAAAATGTTGTGGTCTTGATAGCGGGGAAATGTTGTGTTGACTGAGTTTCAGGAAGAGCAGGAGCTTTTAAAGAGACAGAGGCCCAATTTTAAAGCGTAGCATTTCCTTTAAGTCATATTTGATGTTTTTATAACAACTAAAGTTAACAGACACATAATTCTGCCCCGTTAAAGTAACAATTAAAACGGTTTAATTAGTAAAGTAAGCCGTTGGTTTTGTTACAGTTAAAGGCTCACTTCCTCTTTCTCACCTGCTCGTTTCGCAGTTTCAGTGGAGTAATTTGTTCTCTCGGCTCTGCAAAATGAGGCCCAGATGAGCCTCATTGTTGCCAGTCTGCCTACGGATCCCACGGGGGACGCTGCCATTTCTAAAATTACACCCTTCCAAACTGTCATTTCCTTTTACAAAACAGCTTCATTGGGACAAATTAGCACAGATAGCTAACATGTGGGCCGCAAAGGAGGAGGGGAGTGGCAGAAAGTGAAGACTGAGCCAGTTTATTACCGTCAGGTTCATTTCTATTTTAAAATATTAAACTTAAATTGTTTTTTTTTAGTGTGCCAAACAGTATAATAACATAAAGTAAAAATAGTCTGATTTACTGGAGCCTAAAGATTCACCGATACATTTTTGTTCACTTTTGAAATAGCTGTCTGGGGTTTAATATCGGCCGATACCTCTCAGAGAAACAGTGCTGCCTTCACTTAAAATGTTTCTTTTTTTTTTTAACACAGACATAAATGTACTAAATTACTAATTTATTTGATAACTTTGCACCAGTACAGCAGAGTTAAATACACACATTTGGTCAAATATGCAAAAACAACTTTAGTTTGTTCAGTCAATGCAATTAGCCAATGTAAAATAAATAATAAAGAACCAGAAACTGACAAAAATAGGTTGAGTGCTGTGGTCTAACATGTAAAAATAAACTGTATCAAATCTTATTTCAGACGGTTCAGAAATTCTGAATATAACAGCGACCGTCGTCGGCGTTCAGCGAGCTTGTGAAACTCACCAAACCTCTGAATTATCTGGTGAATTCAAACACTCACCCGACGGCGACATTCTGTTGATTTCAGTAAATAAAACCAAGACAATCTCATTACTTAATCCGCCGCTGCTCGAAACAGAGAGGAAATAAAGGCGAGAGGCTCCGACGCACCGTTCTCTGCTGTCGTTTGTTCAATAAGAACTAAACACAAAATTTTCACAAAGACGTCTGAGCCTCCGTTATGAATGGCTTGGTGCCACTTTCTCAGTTTCATAGTACAAAGAGACCAGCAAAGCAAAACCACGACTCGTCCCAATGATAGAGCAAAATGTCACTTAAAGTGTCAGAGACGCGACATGTTTGGTGTGAACGCAGCATTTAAAGGTGAAATGAGAAATCTGCAGAATGTGCCAGATTATTCATAGAATAATCAGTTTCTAAAATAATCGTCTCTTGCGTCTTAGATAAACCAAGAAGATGGATTTAAAGTAAATCTGATTCGTCTGATCGATTTATTTCCATTAACTGAGTTTTTTTGTTCAAATGATAAAAAACCCCGAAACAACGTTTGTTAGTTCGTTAGAAATTAATAAAAATGTAAACTGAAAGAAAAAGTTTTCAGACTGTTTTTTTGTGCCAGGGATGAAACGATGCCACATTTTCTGTGTTTCGTGTGAATTTCTGAATTAGGCTTGTTGCTTATTTTATTTCAAGTGGCAGTTTTAGCTAAAGAATAAACAAAGCCTTTCTGAAATTACCTTCTTCCTCCAGTGACTGTGGCTCTGCCCCTTCCAGTCTGTCTTATCTCATTCATGTTCTGGTCGTGTCCTTCCCCCTGTGGCCGCTCCGGCTCTGTTATGACACCGGAGAAGGAAACTCTACCGGCTTGTAAACAAAGTTAATTTTAGCTTTACTCTCAGGGTGACAGGCCATACTCAGCATTACCGGCGAGCGCTGCAAGCGACCGTGGGAGGGAAATGTCTGCGTGTGGGCAATAACAAGACGTCGCTTACTATTTCCTGCCCGGTCAGCTAATGACTCGAAAATATTTGAATTCGGGTTTATCGTTCATCTGCAGGTCCAGGAGATGTTGATTTTGTAAAGTTTGCAATAAGTCGAGGAAATGAAAGCAAGGTTATGTAAGATATGAGCAAAAATAGAAGCCAAATCAAATAAGTGGTGAATTTATTAGCGACGTACTGATGGTTCAACGAGAAAACGGTAAGATCCTGAGAGGTTTCTGACGACCTGAGGGCATTTTGGTCCAAGACAATCAGAACTTTATAGATCATTAACAACATTTATTTATAAACATTTTACAAACAGAGCATTTTGGATGAGCTTTGTTGATAGTAATTGAGTCCAGTTGATTCCTAAACTCTGCCTTAAACTACAACTTTGGTCATTTAGTCACATTTTGAGCGTAAACATGGTGAGAAACGTTGCTGTTCTCCATAATCAGCACTAACTGAGTCACAGGGGTGTTAATAAAGAGTGGAGCCATGAGGAACCTCAAATACTGTCTGGACTTTAACCGGTTAATACACTGCAAAAACACAAAATCTTACCAAGTATTTTTGTCTAGTTTCTATGGAAAACTAGACTAGTAAGCTTGAAATAAGATAAAACTAACATATAGGTAACTTTACAGTAAAATCTAAATCAGGAGCGTCAAACTCAGTTTAATTTTGGGCCAAATCAAACATCTGAATGTTCTTAAAGGGCCGGTTGTGCCAGAATATATTGATGAAACCCATAAAACTGTTTAAATATCAATAAGTAGCTGTTTGTATTTTAAAGTTAAATAACCACTGATCAGTCCCTGCAACATTTTGTGATTGTTTTTGTGGGTTTTTTGCAATCAAAATCACAGATTTTGTGGATCTAATTTAGAAAAATGTGTGCTAATGTATGACGTTAAATGAGACTTTGTAATAATCGCCGTATCGATCACGGACTATAACATCCATTAAGGCTGAGGCAGCAGTCACTTAAACTCAATGTTTTTTCACCAATTTTGAGAAAAAAAGTGCAGTAATATCTGAAAAAATGTGGGGATCTGTTGATTTTGTGTGAACTTTGCAGATTTGTGAAAAACTGGAGGGACTTATTGATGTAATTTGGAGTCCGGAGGGCCACATAAAATACTACGGCGGGCCAAATTTGGCCCCCGGGCCTCCAGTTTGACACATGTGCTGTAGATGCTTGTTTTAAGTAAGTAATTTCTTAATATTGATGAAAAAAGTTCTTGTTCCATTGGCAGAATATTTAACTTACAATAAGACATTTTTCCCATCCTGTAAGTTAATTTACCTGGCAACAGAACAAGAACCTTTTCATCAATATTAAGGGATTATTTACTTAAAACAAGCCTCTATATCTTACTAAAAAGTTACTTTTAAGTTAGTTTTGTCTTATTTCAAGTTTATGAAGATACTTGCATTAGAAACCAGATTTTAAGATTTTCTGTTTTTGCAGTGTAATTACAAAATTGACCTCAGGTTTCTGACCTTTTGCAATGTCCGTCCCTGTTAAACGTTGCCACCATGTTTGTTGTGCAGATGCAGTCGGTCGGCCGTGTACCGGACCAGAGAGATGGCGGCCCGGGCCCTCGTCCCGTTCGTACTCGTCACCCAGATCCCGTCCACCGTCCGGACCTTACTGCAGGATCTCCCTGCAGAACCGGGACCCAACATCCAACAAAACCACATCCATGGCGCTCTGCTGCAGGTCCGCTCCCACACACCCACATCAACACAAACCAGTTCACTCATACTGGGAATATACATCGCTCACTGTAATCATAGGTTGTTTAAACAACCGCAGGTTCTCAATTAGAGCTGAAATCAAAACTTCAATCATTCGCCTGTCAGAGCTCTGAGTTTCAGTTTATGAGTCAGAGTTAGGTCAGCGCTGACAGGGACTCAAACTGCAGCCTGTGGGGTATCAAAATCATTTCAAACTATGTTATTGATCCCAAAGGGAAACTTAATGTGGGATTCTTCATAGAGTTATTGGAGATATTGATGGAAATGAGGATTTCTTAGCATTCTCAATAGGTTTAACATGAGAAGGAAATACAGCTGGGTGAGAGAATATCAGAAAATACAAACACTAAATAATCTATTTTTGATTTATGCTGGGGTTTGGACTGAAACGATTAATCAGATTAATCGATTATTGAAATAATCGTCAACTAATTTAATAATCGATTAATCGTTAACTGGAGTCAAAAAAGGCCATTTGGTGTAAAAAACAGTAAATAAGCCAAAACTGCACAAATATAAAGAGATGTGAATCTTTCAGTGTTTTCAATTTTTAGGGTTAAAATTCGATTCAGAAATGATTTTTAATTCAGAAACCAATTTTTCTATTCAAACGCTCTACAGGTTGTTTGAACTATGTGACAGAGAAAAGGAAAAGACAATGTGAACAAAAATATGACATTTATTTAAATGTACAAGACTCCATACTATACCAAACTATATTTAAACCAAAATAAGTTTGTGCGTAAAAGTCTTCAATTTAATTTATTTTAGCAATGCAGAAAAAAAATAATTTCTATGCAGATTCCTATTCCCAGATTCTGGCAATTTTGAATGCTCAAAAACTGATTTTAGTTTGTTAAATGTTTTGTAAAATTACATTTTTTTTATTTAAAAAGAACTCAGCCAGCAAAGCCATTCCAATACTGCATTTCTAATTTGGATTTAAAGTGACAAAATGTCTTAAAACAGCTCAAAAACATCAGAACTGATCAAACTAAAATCTTGTTTTTTAAAAGAAAGATGTAAAAAATAAAATAAAAATGTTTTGTATAATCACAGGCCGATCCTAACGTCCAGCGAAGCATAATAGGTCATATTTAATTAGAATATTGCTCAATTTTATTGTTTAGAAGGTAAAAAAATTAAAACAAACTAAAAAACTAAATATTTTATATAAAAAATTTATAGACTTTTTTGGCCTCAAGTATTTTTGACTTGATTATTTTGGTTTAATTGATTGATTGGTTTTCATTCCCATTTTTGCTTTAACCAATCTGAATTATCACCTAACAGAGACATAAAAACAGTTTCCTACCCCAGGTAAGATACTGACTGCTCATAACCGGAAAATACAGAAAATCCCTTTAACGACAGAAAGTCTGCTGGTTGTACTGGGACAGAATCCACACAGAGCTTATCCAGACTGGGCGGTTATCTCAGGGTAAATACCCGTGTTTAGTTCTGTCGTTGCACCCTGACCAAACACAACCAAACAGTCTGCCTGTAACATCAACACTGCCAGAGGAAAAGGGGCAGAGGGGGATTCCCGGAGCCTTGATGGGGGTCGGAGGGCGCGGCGCGGCGCGGTACGCAGGGGTCGGCGCAGGGAATGCAATCTGCAGCGGTTTCTTCAGGATGAGACGGAGTGTGTGCCGCTCGCTGGCGGTCAGGGCTCCGGGGAGGTCCGCTGTGGGACGGAGGGGTTGCCTCATAAAAGCCTAGACGAGGTTTCAAGGGGAGAGTGGTTTTTAGTTTGTGTTGCTGTCATGGCTGCCACGTGTGGACGCTCCCCAGATGTCTCCCGATCGCGTCCTCCCTGGTTTATCGCCGTCTGTTTCTCCAACATGGATTTCTGATTGTTCTTCTTCTGTATCGTGTTGCTGATCATTTATTGGGATAAATGCCTTACCATACGTATGTGACAATAAATCCCAACCAATGATAACCAATTTTCGGGGTTTCTGAAAAATCCTTAAGTCTTAAATTCATCTAAAACTAAGGCCTTAAAATGTCCTAAAAGAATGTAATTTGGTCTTAAATATGTTTATCGCAAGTCTTAAGTTTATTGAGAAACTGCCAGGACAGAACAGGTTCTAGGTGGTTGAGGCTAACGCTAACTAGCTGTTAATATACCCAACTTGCTAACTAACTAGCTTAGATTTAAGTAACAAAGCTTAGATCTAAGCCAGTGGTACCGAACCCACCAGCTTCATATGCGCATTCACTGAACCTTTCTGTAGTGATAAATAAAATATGATTCCCCCCACAAATTCAAGACATAGGAGTGACCCAACTAGAGTCAAGTTGGGTCACCCCATGATCACTAATTCTTCTTAAAAGGTAGAGTCTCTGAGAACAGTTCTTCAAAATAGTCAGTCTTTTCAGCAAAGTTGAGCTGACTGTCCAGGAACGACCCAAATTTGCCACAGTTTCAACAGGTTGGCTATCGAGAGAAACTGGAACCACGTTAAGGTCTTGTTTAGATCGTTTAATTAGCTCTACATTCTTAAGAGAATGAAAAATTTATAATAAATAATAAAGACTTTGAGGTATTCTGATTTAGTAATGTAATTATATTAGTTGTGTTACCACCTCCATACCACTAGAGGCAGTACCAACCCTGAAAAGATTCGGCTAAGGAGCAGATTTAGAAGTACACTGAAAGCTACAGAATTTGGTAAAACCCGTGAGTTTTGCTGAAGTAATTAAAGACATGTTTAAATCTATGAGAGGTTGCATGGGCCAAAACTTACAAACTCTCTCACATTCACAGTCAAACTCTCTTACACGTACTATCAAACTCTCCGAGAGTTTGATAGTTAACTTAAGTTAACTTAAAATTTCAGTTTCTGATTGGACTCCAGGCAGGAGTAGGAGGGTTTTCACGGACAGAAAAATTGCTGAGGGGCAGCGACTCACAGAGGCAACTAATATTTTAAATGACATCGTTAGCGCTCCTACAGTAATGTCAGCATTATCAGAAGTGTTTAGAAGCCGACAGCCAGCATCGGAAACCCATCTATCAGTGGGATAAAGCTAGCCGCCTCTTCGGAAATGGCAGTAAAGCCAGCCTGCACTCGATTTTAATGTGCGCGACAGCACAAGTTATGGGGCTCTCTTTTCAAAGTAAAAGCGCATCTCCGGTTTATGTTTGATTCACACGTCAAGTTTCTCTCCGGCGGCTGTAACAGGCTAAAGTTTTGTGTTAATTAATGTGCAAAATGACATTATGTATCTGAATAAAATTTAATATATTGTGTGGGCAAAAAATCCTGTAAAGCACATGTGTGCAACCTCAGTTAAAATTGGTCTTACAGGTGTCCATGTGTCATCCTGAAGTGAGAGAAGTACCTGGTAAGGTATTGTTTATGTAATATAGGTATTGTTTATGTGAGATTTCTTGCATGTCAAACGTCAGCAATTTTGATTGAGGTATAGCACATATGTGGTTTACAGAATTTTTTCCCCACATAATATGTTTTAATTTATTTTCAGATACATGATTTCCTTTAGTAAATCAATTAACACAAAGTTTTACATTTTTAAAAGCCGCAGGAGAGAAACATGAATCAAACATAAACCGGAGGTGCGCTTTTATTTTGAAAAGTGAGCGCCATAACTTGTGCTGTCGCGCACATCGAGTGCAGGCTGGCTTTACTGCCATTTCCGAAGAGGCGGCTATCCCACTGACAGATGGGGTTTCCGATGCTGGCTCTCGGCTTCTAAACACTTCTGATAATGCTGACATTACTGTGGGAGCGCTAACGATGTCATTTAAAATATTAGTTGCCTCTGTTAATCGCTGCTGCTGAGCTATTTTTCTGTCCGTGAAAACCCTCCTACTCCTGCCTGGGGTCCAATCAGAAACTGAAATTTTAAGTTAACTTCTGTTGCAATCAAACTCTATCAGAGAGTTTGATAGTATGTGTAAGAGAGTTTGACTGTGAATGTGAGAGAGTTTGATAGTGAATGTAAGAGAGTTTGATAGTACGTGTAAGAGAGTTTGACTGTGAATGTGAGAGAGTTTGACTGTGAATGTGAGTTTAACTGTGAATGTAAGAGAGTTTGATAGTGAATGTGAGAGAGTTTGTGAATGTGAGAGAGTTTGATAGTGAATGTAAGAGAGTTTGACTGTGAATGTGAGAGAGTTTGACTGTGAATGTAAAAGAGTTTGATAGTACGTGTAAGAGAGTTTGACTGTGAATTTGAGAGAGTTTGACTGTGAATGTGAGAGAGTTTGACTGTGAATGTGAGAGAGTTTGACAGTGAATGTGAGAGAGTTTGATAGTGAATGTAAGAGAGTTGGTGGTGAGTGTGAGAGAGTTTGTAAGTTTTGGCCCATGGGGCCTCTCATACAAATCCCCTCCGCAGCACTGATTGGCTAAGCAATGTAACGTGATCCTCTGCAGCAAGTGATGGAAAAGCGGGGCGCGTCATCACGACTTTACACAAGTGTATCTTTACCTCCGCTGCAGAGGCTCTGCCGAACCCCTGAGACCGACTCATCGAACCCCTGGGGTTCGATCGAACCCAGGTTAAGAACCACTGATCTAAGCTTTATTGCTTAATCCCCCCGGGCCTTGAGTTTGACATGTGCTCTAGATCTCACTGTGACATTAGTCGTTTTATCTTCAGGTGGTAGAAGGCCCACTTTTGGAATCGTCTTTATGTTGCAGTGAAGGTTCAGGTTTGACTCACCCACATGTTGCTCCTCATCTCCAGTTTCTCGCTGTAATAGCTGAAGCAGTGTGTGGAAAAGTGTATAAAATTCATGCTGCGATGCGGCCAAACTAACAGCAGCTCTGCTTTCAGTCACATTGTGTCAGATTGCATAAAGAGGCTGAACTGGAATAAAAATCCATCCAGCTCTTAAACTAACGATATTATACATCATATCTCACCAATGTTTGAAAAGTGAGTTTTACCTTCTGCTGCTTAAATTATGGTGTTTATATGTGACGTAATGAAGCGGGAATCGCCACGGCGACCAGTAAACTCAGTTCCCACCTTCCTCTTTTGTCCGTTTCCTCATATCGGTTCCACTTCTTCACGCCGGGAAAGGCAGGGATCACGTCTCTCCAGGACGTGATCGTCTCCTGGAATGGGAGCTGAGCACGCAGGGAACCTCTTTGTCCTTCCCTGTATCTTGTCTTCGCCGTGTTCAGGATTTGTTGCAGGAGACACCGGCCACCTGGTTTCTAATTATAAGATGAAAAAGGAGCTGTGTGCTCATTTGAACCGAACTGTGATCTTCCAGTGATCATTTTTGATGAAAAATAAAGTCAAATTGTTCTTTTCTTTGTGTCTAAAACTACCACTGCAGTGGCACATTTATCTACTTGTGATGTTTAAAACAATATTTCAGTTATGAGACACGTTTGTGTCTTTTTTATTTGTTAAATCAATCATTGGAGATCAATGTCAATAAAACGCTCCTCTTTTCAGTCGTATCAGTTTGGATTCACTGAGATGCATCTGCTCTGCTTCAGTAAGGACATAAACTTATGAGATGTAGTGATTCTGATGCCTGTAAGCCATGTGTAGACATTCATTTCCTTCTGCCTGCCACCAAAAGCTCACTACACTATTTATACATCTCATACAGTCTCCTTATCTTTCTGTGGTGCGCAGAAAGATGTCCCCTTGTGGCCAATCAGGGTATTGCAGCCCACACTTTGAAAAACACTGGCTGTTTACTCTGAAGGTGGATTTCACTAGATGCAATGCTCTGCCAGCAAGCATGACGCTGCCACCCCCTTCCTTGCCAGGGCTACAGTTTCAAAAGCTCTGACCTATTATGTTTCCTTGAACAGCTTAGGATATGTTTATACCAAACATGTTCACTACAGTTTTTCGTACAAAATCATTCTTGGATAATGACATTTTAGTCTGATCAGTTCTGTCTGTTTTGAGTTGTTTTAGGACGTCCTGTCACCTTAAATTTAAATAAGCTGCAGCTGGCCGCAACCCCCTCAACTCAACATTTATGTTCACAAATGAAAATGGCTGCAAACAGATGAGCAACTATACTACATGCGTCTTTGAAAAGCATTAGTAGAGCATCCTGCACCACTAAAAACAATGCAGCAAGTGGTTTCTGGATGGCAAGTCAACAACAAAGCACTTGTCTTTTCCAGCAGCCATTGTACAGCGCATACAGAGGTAAAACTAGCTGATCAAATGTGCTGGAGCTCTGCTTGGGTTGCTAGGTAACTGGCTGCACTTCACTGGGGTTGCTAGGTAACGGGCAGTGCCTGGTGGTTTGTAACGTTACATTCTGGAGGTTTTTGAAACGGCTCGTTTTCTAGACACTAAAACACATTAACTTATTGCCAAAACTTGGCAGCATTTCTTTTGTTTTTAAGCGATTGGGTTGTTTTTAGAAGCAATAGAAAACCAAATGGAAGCACAAAAAACATCTGCAATCTGAATATTGTATAATTGGTGTCTTTAAACTCCTCCAAACATAGTTCTTGTCATATAAGACAAAACTAACTTACACGTAACTTTCCAGTAGGATATATGAGCTTAAATCAAGAATTCCTTGATATCGATGAAAAAGTTCTAGTTTTATTGGCAGATATAACATGGGAAAAATATCTTGTTACCGGTTAAATAATCTGCCAGTTGAGCTGGTGCATTTTTTAATCCCTATTAAGGAATCATTTACTTTAAACAAGGCCCTATACATTTCTGAAAAGCTACTTATAAGTTAATTTTGT